GGATTTATAGTAATCCATATTTGGTGCTAAAATACTCTCTAAAATAACGTCAAATCTTCGAGATATTTGATTTCTTTTCAGCTCCCCTTCCTCCTCTATTTGAATTCTACAAATGCTTAGTCAAATTGCATCTTTGGAACAAAGCAAAAATGGCAGGCAAATAATTTTCATATAAAATAACACTGTAGAAAAAAATCTACGAGTATTTTTTGATACTCGTAACTTTCTGCCCAAAACTCGTAACTTGAAAAGGTCTGACATGCACTTACTAAGTTTAGTATGTGCTAAGCCTATTTTAGTTTTCTGAGGCTGACATTAAAGTATGATTGTTTTGCTTTTAAGCCAGAAGGCCGTTTTAGATGAATATAGTATGTGAAACTGCTTATCAGACTGCAAAACTGGGAAAGGGTCAAACATGGCCTACAAATTACTTATATTTTTAATCTGAACTTAAAGAAGCCTTTGCCACCAAAAAGTAATGACTGGGGGTACTCAGCCAGGTTGATCGCTCAAATTCTTGTGTGAATCTTAGCCAATGATGTCAATTTGTAGTTGAGGACACCAAAAGGCAAAAGATCAAATTTCGATCAAATTTCGATCAAATTTCGATCAAATTTTGACCAAAATTTTAATGACATTCATATGCCAAGATTATACGTCATTTAATAAAAGATTATGCAAAAAAATTGCTATATAATCTAGGAAACATACAATTGACATCTTTCTTCACACCTGCACCTTTATTTTGCTTCACACATTACGAAAAAAAACATGTCTAACTCTAACAGCGAAATATCTTTATCCACTGAAGATAACCATGCTATCAAAAACGAATATAAGACATGGTACAAACATGATGGTGGTAAAGATGGTCTGACTTCTATGGAGAGACTTCAGCAATTCATGTTGATGAACGGCGGAGAAAACCTCAATATGTATCTTGGCGGTGACAAGGAAGGACGAACGTTCAAGTCGTCAAAGGTTACAATACTGAATAAATGCAACCAGTATTTTCAGGAGCAAGGGGTTTATCGAACTACAGCCCAAATAAAGTCGAGGCTCAACAATCTTTTGACAAAACAATATGGAGAAGCCTATCGTGTTTGGAAGAATAGTATTAAAAATAATTCTAACGACGAAGGCTCTACCAGTGAAAAAGAAGGCTTAGAGTGTAAGTTGATACTATCTATATAATACCAATTCTAGATCTCTTTGTTTTAATGTAATTTGTATAACAATAGCTGAATTGAATCAAATCTGCCCTGCTTTCTTTCAGATGGAAAAGGTTATGGGCAATAGAAAGACTGGTTCTCCAGCGGTTTGTGATACCACAAAGCCAATGGAATGGATACATGACGAGGACGGTGAGCAAAGCAATGGCGATGATGACAACACGGACGAAGAATCAGCTGAAAACAGTCATAGCAGCAACAATGAGGAATATGTCAGCCAAAATGATAACATGTCTGTACTCTGCTCCCCTCCTCCTAAGTCAAGCTCTTCTAGAAAACGCAGAAGAGTAGACGTCGAATATAAAGAGTTGGCAGAAGAGGTGACGAGACAACTTAACGAGTCTTCTGTGTCCCTAGAGGCAAAAATAGAACGGCTTTATAGGGAAAAGCTAGAAGTTCTTAAGGACGGTCTTCACATTAAGCGAGAACGCGAATTCATACACAGAAAATTCGAAAACATGATGAAAGCAGTTGCAGAATTGGCCAAAGTGCAAAACTGGTCAGATGAAAAAGTGCAAGAGCAAACTGACGACGTTTACAATAAAACGTATGGTAGTTAAAGACTATCAATTTAATAATGACAGCAACTATCATAGAATACCTGTTATACATCATTTCTACTTTTGAGATAATTTATTTCTTTATTTTTTTACTTTTTTTTAAGAAGGTTCCCATCTCCGTTTTTTATGAGTATCTCTTCTTTGATACGGGTACGTTTGAGCTTAGCATTCTCATCTGACAATGACATTGCTGGATAGTCATCTACAGTGCCAGTCACACCTTCTCTGCTGATCCTTTCGATCTCTTCTTTTTCTCTTTTCTCCCATGAAATCTTCATCGTCATTGTCATCATGTCATCTGTCTGGTCGATCAAAAAGTTATGGAGAATGACACAAACTCTGATCCAAGAATTGACCATGTTCATGTCTTTTCGACTTCTTATCTTAATTGGGAGTCGCTTCAAAGAGCAGAATCTTGCTTTGAGGATCCCAAATGCATGCTCAATTTTTATCCTCATCATTGCTATGTATGAATTGAACGCTTTGTCCGCATCACACAATTCCTTGTTTTTTGGCTTCTTTATGACAGGGACAACGTACGTCTTGGGAATGTAACTAGCATCGGCTAAAACATACTGGTCACCAGAGAAGAAGTTATTGGGGTCGCTACCCATGGTCGATTCTTCAAACACCCTGGCATCGTTCATGCTTCCGAAGTATCCGCAAGAGAGATAACGAATCTTCTTTTGATGGTTGCATACCCCAAGAGTGTTTACACAGTATGTGCGCTTACGACCAAAGAATTCTGGCTTTTTCCACGACGGTGTATGCTGCAAGTTAAACAGACACCCATCCAAAAACCCAACAAGATCAGGAAATCCGAATGGTTTCTCATTGCTTGGGATTATCGTTGCTGTCTTCTCGAGTTCTGACGGCCAAAAAACGTACATGTTTTCCATTGATAGCATTACCTTGAAGAAACGAACTGTGAAGTTTAAGACACTGCCCTCTAATAAGTTTAAAATAATTAGTTCAATGGATTAATTATATGTTTATATAGATTAACGGAAGTCAGTTTACTAAAAGACGCTTACCTCCAACACCAGATCTTCGTGCAAGCCTGCTATAGGATACAGCATTCCCGTCTGAGCCTAGTCTCTCCAAGACCAAAGCTAATTGAAGCTTTACATCAGTCTGCTTATGTCCTTTCGGTGACTTATATAAAGAATGGTCTTTGATTATCTCGTACAGCTTATTAAACGAGCTTTTGGACATTCTGATTTCTTCTTTGAACCCATCTGCATCTAGGTCTTCGAGGAAAGCAAGTTTTTCTTCCTTTGATTTAAGCTTTGGCAATGTATTGCCACCCTTGTGTAAGTATCTGTTGGCTTGAAGGTTCTGCTCAAGATCCTCCACAACAGCTATCTTCTCCAACTCTGCATCAACTTCCTCTTCAAGGACTTCTGAAATATTTTTCAACAGCTCATCTGCGCTTGTTGATAAAGATTGTACCAGACTTTTTTTTTCCTTCGCTACAAATTTTCTGATTTTACGCGATTTCCTTAAGGCAGCAACTGTTTGTTGCTTTGCACTGTATTTTGGCATGTTATACGGAGTGAAAGAAGTGTTACATGACTTTGTTAACAGTAAATTCTATGATTTATTAAGGAGAAAGATAAAAACAGTATCGTATTGCATATAAAAAAGTAAGGATTCAGCCAATCAGAGAGCCGTACGTTTTTCGATCAAATTTTGATCGAAATTTGATCGAAATTTGATCTTTCAAAAAGACGATATAATTTTGATCGTCGCTATTACAATTTTAGTCCAATAATATCGCGTTCTGAATTTAAAATTTGAGCGATCAACCTGGCTGAGTAACCCCACTGTGATTACTTTTTAATGCATTGTTGTTTTTTATTTTGTAAAAGTCTTTTTTAATTCTACTTTTTCACAAGGTCTAAATTATTAAAGGTCTCTAACAAGAACACACTTAACAACTATGAAGGCTAGTATTAATAAAATACGAATCAGCAAAGTTGACAAAAGAAAGTAACTTGAGAATAATTGACAGAAAAATATCTGCATCAAGTACAATTTGGTTGTCAAGATTGCTCGCATGCTCATTAGATATCTCGGTAGATTTCGAGAATCGCAGGGAATCTGTCTTCTGTTTTTTCAAATGTAGGAATCAGGCATAACAATGTTAACACAAAGCAGGTTTATACTCTTTGATTAAAAGAATCAATTAAGAAATATACATGCCTTCATCAATATCATAGTACTTAGAAAATAGCTTTTTTTTTTAGATAAAACAATGTAGAAAGTATCACATAAAAATAGATATATGTATATTATTTAATGAATGTATAGCTTAAAATGTTACTAAATGTCATAAAAATTAGTACTTCTTCTTCGCATACTTCTTTATGTTTAACTTGTATTATTTTGATCAATAAAAACCAAAAAAATTCAATATAAAACATCATGCATTTGTTGAACCAATCATAAAGAGAATACAAATACCTAAAAAGGTATAGATCTGCCATATTTAGAATATTTTATTGGCTTAGATGCAAAATAATAGAAAATCTCATAAATCGTATTTGACAAAAAGTAAAACTAATAGGCTAAAACAGGCATGCTATTTGCTATAAAAGTTACGAGTTCGTAACTCGTTACGAGGTCGGAGGTGTAAATCCTGCCATTTCCTACAGTGTTTGTTTCATTTTGGTTATATAAAATGAGCTTTTTAAAGTATGGTCGTTTAGTATATTCCTTTTTGTAACTAGAGTCCTTATTTTAGAAATTTTGTCAATTCCCTCGACAATTACATGGTCAAAAACACCATGTAATTGTCGAGGGAATTGACAAATATATCCATTCGGAATCGAATAAATTACTATGAAAAGTAATTTTTCTTTCAATTCCCTCGTACGCTGGTGAATGGCATAAATGTCCAAACTTCATCTTGTTTAAAGTTTTTTTTTTGCAGAGAAGTAATAAAAGTCTCACCGCAGAGAGCTTGTAAATAGTAAAGCGAGTAACTCAGCGGTAACAGAATTTAAAAAAATTAAGATCCCATAAAGCCTTATGGTTTTCTAATTTTACATATAAAAATTGTCGATTATAAAAAAGGTGCACCCTAACCGCTACAGGCGATTTTTGAGAAGCATTTCGTTGTTTACGATTAATCGATCGCAAAAATTAATTTTAGCAAGAAAGCATTGCTGTTAAGTTAGATATTAGAATGGTCTACGACAATAGTTCAACAAGCACAATCGGTAAATTCAGTTGAGTCTTCATTCAACTTTTGTTTAAATTCAACAAAGTCAAGAGTAGCCAGTTTGAAGGAGTTGATTATTTGATTACAATAATTGGTGACACTCGTAATTCGGGTCTTCTTAGGCACTTCTAAATATTTGTCCAAGACTCTATAGGCACTCAAAAAGTGCTTCAATGGATAGCCACTTTGAATGTTATACATCTCAAGTGTCATTAAACTAGTGCAGTAAGATAAAATGATGAACTTTGAGAAAATGAAATCTGGCTTTTTAAAAACTTTATTTCCCGATATTTGTGAATGGCCGCCATTCGGCGTTGTAACAATTGTATTTGTATTTGAACCTTTTGAGAATAATCACTTATTTATTTATGTATTTATTTATACTGTATGTAATAGCTAATATCGGTAGACGAACAAAATACAATACACATACATACATTATTTATAAAGGTATATAGATAGACGGATCTATCAATAAAGAAAGAGATAGAGAGACCAGAGAGTTGAATGAAGGAATGCTTATAGATATTTATTTATATTTTAACCTGTTTGTGTGTATTAGATAGAGAACGAAATAAAAATGAATGCAAGCCTGCTGAGAATATAGGTATACATATACATATACATATACATATACATATACATATACATATACATATACATATACATATACATATACATATATATGCATATATTATGAAAATAACATGTGAATTCTTGTACGAATTTGTACATGAAAAGAAATGAATGAATTAATAAATTAATGAATGAATCGGTAGATTAATATATATATATATATATAGCTAGACAGATAAATAGCCAGATATACAAATAGGTATAGAAAATGAATGAATAAATGAATGAATAAATGCCTAGATGCTGAGATGAATAACTGATTGACTAAAGGTTTAGATTTACATATATAACCTTTTGAATTTGATTCACTCTCTTCGAAGAGCAAATACCTCGGGGCTATTACGGCAAGACACTTCAATCTGGAAATGTCGGGTGCGTCCATCGGTCCGAAAGAAAGCTTTCCGACAATGAGGACATTCATAAGGTTTGTCTCCGGTGTGGGTACGGACATGGCGAGATAGATCATATTTGCGCGTGAATGTTTTCGAGCAAAATAGACACTGGTGAACCTTTGGGTTGGCCGTCTTGGTAGGTTTGCGGATTGGAATTGGTTTTTGTATTTTGTCGAGAGGTTGTCTTGAATCGTCTGACCATCCTGTAAAATAAGTGTCGTCTGTTTGGGTCGAGATATCGGAGCAAGGAGAAGGGCTGTTGACATAGACTGCTTCTTCTAGAGTCCTTTCCATATAACAGAGATCAAAATCAAAATCACTCGAGTCAATCTTGTTGAAGAAATGAATATAATCTGGACTGAGCCGTAGTTCAAGTTGACTAAAATCAATGAGTGTACTGTGTAGCTGCAGTCGTAACTGGATTTGCGCATGAGGCTGTGCCTGAGGCTGTTCTTGTAGTTGTTCTTGGGATATATTATTCTTGGCTTGTTGCATGATAGGCATAGAACTTGTATGTATTGAAAATAAGGACAGGAGAATGACAAGCTTTTTGAAAGCAAAATAATAACAATACTAAATAAATAAATAAATATTAATATATATATAACATTTATACTTTATACGTGACGGAAACAAAAACGACTATTGAGCTTATTAGTATCGATTTTTTTCTTTTCTATTCTTTTTATAGCATACTTATACATTACCTAGTAGAACAATTAAGAATTACTGGTTTCACAACAAAGTTTAAAAAAAAAATCAAAAAGATATCATAAATTTATTATAATAATAAAAATGATAATCTCTTCTCTTGTAAGTTGACGCTGCTCTTTGATGATTGCAAGTTAGTCAATCAACAAATATATCTCTAGTATAAAATCCTAAATTAAATAGATAAACGAATGAATAAAGCAACCTTTACTAAAAGCCTACAATATGTATAATTATTAGACAAAATTTATATAATTTTAATATAATATAATCATCTCATATAGCGAACAGACTTATTGCTTCCCGAGCCCATATCTCTTTTTATATTTCTTTAGTCAATTACATTGCCTTCAATAGACAATTTAGACTTTAAGAAATAGACCCCAACGACGTAATAAATAGTAGTGATTTTATTTTTTGAAAAAAAATCTAAACAGGAAACAATATTCAAAAAGAGAATGATTTAAAAAATAATGTCAGTCAGCTCATAATGTAAACTATATTTTTATATATATATATATATACTCAAAAAATCAATTAAGTAACCTTGTTTAGCACAAGAATTTTAATATTCAATCAAACTGTCATATATATAAATAACTTTTACTCTACACTATGTAAAAAAAAAGAAAAGAAAAACAAATACTCTTTCTGTTGGTACGGCTCCCTTAACATTTTACTATTCCATTTCAGCTTACCTTTTACGTATATTAGTCCCAATATTTAATCAAATATCAAACATCTGCCACCAATTGATTGTTATTATTTATAAGTTATAATTTAGTAACCTAGTAACCTAGTAACTGGAACTTTTATTCCTATACATATATGTATAAATATATACATTCAAAACTCGATATAGTGGTATTCAATATAATGATATTGATAAAAATAAAACTACTAAATATCAATAAATCAAGCCTTAGCTGTATATATAAAAAGAAGTGTAGAAGAAGAGTAGCAGAAGCAAGCAATGCTGATCCTACAATATATTTTTTTGGTTGTTATCGTATTCCACGTGGCATATAACCTCTCACACGAACTGGTATTGGTGTCCAGGGCAGTCCCGATCATGATGATGTGACAATCATAATCATAATCATAATTATAATTATAATATATTTATAAAAGCCCACAGATATTACTTTCTAATCTTTAATATTTTACATTGATTGCCTATAGTCCGATTTTGTTGAAAGAACACCCGAAGATCGATACCAGATTCCAATTTATTTTCTTTGTATCCAAATTCATATCTGTTATTACCCTCTCGAATAATCTAATAAATAATTTAGTTATATATACATATATTTACTTGTAAGCTTACAATCACAGTTATTCCAAGTCTGCCAAGACATCTAAGAGTTCGTATCATGTGCAATACTAGAAGTAAATAAATAAATGAGAAGTGTTTCACTCATTAATTACAGTTTAATGACAGCTTAGGCTGATATGCCATATTTTTAACACTATTCTTGTTACCTTGAGTTCTGTCCGTATAGAATAGGGCAGAAATATCTTCCAAGACAACCAATCCAGTCGGGGTTTTTGATATTGAATAGAGAGCCCCAATCTGCTCCAGCAACTGAATAGTATCACTTGCTCCCACTGTTCTCGAGCAATCCGTTCTCAACAGGAGACCATTTGGGTTCTTACAATCAAGGAATAATTATATATAAATATCAATGCCCCTGGTTTCTCGGGTCATCGTAGCCTTTTAACCCTTAATTACTCTTTAAATATACTTTTGTACCTCTATTGAAGATTCTAATAAGATCCGTTCCATTAGCTTGGTCTCAAACCTTCCTGTTGTGTCAACATGGTGCGCCTTGTGAGATGGGTAGCTTAGTAAAAACAGACGCAGGACATGCATAGCAAACTAATATATATATATATATATATTATTTGTCAGTTGATTTATTTTCTTTGGTTTGTTTGTTTGTTTGTTTGTTTTTTGAGGATGAGACCCAGAAACATTCATTGTTTTTCCAGGGACCACTTACACAACATATAGGTTCTTCTTTTAAAAAATAAAAATAAATAAAAATAAAAACCTCCCCAATATATATATGTATATGTGTATATATTTATATAAAGCTTACACTTGATGTCTCGCACAAGTCTCCACAAAATTCGACTATTTCGCCTTTCAGAATCCCTCCTTTAAGAATCTGGTCAATTCTGAAATTTTACAATTATAAAATAATAATAAATATTTTGATATATATATATATATATATATGTATGTATATTACCTCACATTGCCTGTGGATAGTCTAACCAATGATTTAAAAGTTACTCTTGATATTGGCATCAACGAGATTTCTCTTCTGAATGCACGTAATAACTAATAACAATACAAGTGCATACAAATTATATATTCTTACTTATTGTGTATGTGTACATACACACATGCATTCATGCATGTGTGCGTGCGTGCTTAGATTCATAATATAATATTGATAGAGACTTACGGCTTTAGAAATATCTAGTTGCTTGCAGACATTGACTACATTGCATTTGTGCAATTCAAGATCTACAATCGTATTTTTAATCAGCTTTTGAATCAGCTCATCGAACTATACATTACCTGTCGTAATATTTAACTTGGTCAGCTCATCAACAACCTGACCGTACGTTGCACGTTTTTGCACTGGAAGTCTAGAAACTATCAACTTGAGTTTACGCATCTCTTCATCGAATCAAGTCAAGTTAAGCCAAGTCTTGTGAAATTAAATTAAATTACATACTAGCGACCTTCGGGGACCCGTTTTTACACTTTTAAACAGGAAACTTCCCGCCAAAAATAGAATGGCTCTTTATAACTTCCAAAAAAAGTGTAAAAAATTGGTTTTTTTTTTCACTTTACACTTTTTTTTTATACTTTTCTTCAGCCAATCATTGCTATTTATCTTTAATTATTAAACTAACACTGTAGGAAATGGCAGTGTTTAAAGCTCTGTACGCGCAACTCGGTTGCGTATTAGCAACTTTTATAGCCAATTGACTTGCACCCTGACATGACAGCAAAAACTCAGAAAAGTGTAAAAGTGTGTTTCTATATTTAGTGTGGTGGATGAAAAGTGTAATTACACTTTTCTCAAAGGTCGCTAATATAAACAATATACAGTGCGTAGTGCACTATACAGACAACAAAGACAATATAATATAGTATAATAAACCGTTAAGCGCTATTTCTATTACACGTTTCTTAAATACATCTCACAATAATAGTAATAAAATGTCATTTGACATTGAATGGTCAAAATTAGACGAAGAACTAGCTGTACATGTACAGCAGTTCCTCAATCGTCATTTCAAAAGCATCAATAAGCCTGCATTTATTGGGGACATTGAAGTCACATCTTTTGGATGGGGCACAGAAACCCCACTCGTAGAGATCATCAACATTACCGATCCATTTCCAGAATTCTATGAAGAAGACCATGACGAAACTCTCAAAGACACAATGCTTCACAATCATCCTCCAGGTCTCCAATCTCCTCAAAGTGACGCAACAATATACTATCCACCTGAAAGCGACACCGGCTCAATCACTCGACCTCATCTAACCCTCAATCCCCTCTCTCAGCAGCAAAGATTCAACTTGATGCACTCATTCCACCGCTCTCCACTCACAGGCCCTCAGCATCCGTTCAGCAACCCGGTCAACAGAATGCTCAGCTCTCCTCAACTTGGCCGTGGATTCTCTGGACAATCCAGTGTTTCGGCACCTTTTTCGGGATCAGATCAGGAAGAAGATTGGATTGACGATGAGCAGCCCACATTTCAATCCTACTCTCGACCCCCAAGCGAAGCGCCCACAAACACAACTACCAACAAATATGCCCACGAAGCAAATCCAACAGAAATGGATTTTCAGGCTCACGTCCGGATAGCCTACAAAGGCGACATGAGCATGACTGTTCTGACAGAACTAAGGATGAATTATCCGAGTATGTTATTTATGAGTCTTCCTATGCAATTGCATATCAAAAGTATCGCATTCGAGGCTACTGCAGTGGTGGCATACATAAAGAGCATGGATCGTGTGTGTGTTTCAATGCTTGAACCCGAATTGGACGGAGTTCCTCTGAGGAATAAGAATGGTGGTCTAGACAGGTAAAATGAAAAGGATTAAACTCTTTGTTAAATCTAAAGTTCCCGTATGCTTTATTAGTCTATTGAGAGAGGTACATATTGAATCAATAGTAGGTGACAAGGAGAAACAAGGCAAGTAATATACACATATATTTCAAAGTACTTATAGATCTACTGACACCATTAAATATCCCAATTTGCAGTACTGAAGAACGTGGGCAAAATTGAAAAATTTATCGTTGATCAATTGCGAAAGATGCTTGATGATGAGCTAGTATTTCCAAGCTATCAATGCTATGAACTCAATTGATTCCAAGAAAGAAAGAGATAAATTGTACAAACACACTACACACAAACAACAGCAATAATAGTAATAGTAATAATAAGACACATACATACACTTATAAATATATATATATAAAGTGTATTCTAGAACTTTTTAAGATTATGTGGCTCGTAGTCTTCTTCATCTTTGTTTTTACTTGGGCAATCCAGAGTGGCGTAAAAGAGCATTTACATCCACTTCGTCTCTTCCTCTAAACTTTTCCCAAACCTCTCTGGGAGAAGTGCCACCGCCCAAAGCGAGGACGGTGTTACGGTAATGTTGGCCAATTTCCTGGGCTGACTTTCCTTGAGCTTGTACTTCTTCAAATGCAGCATAAGCATCAGCCGAGTAAGTCTCGGACCACTTATAACTATAGTAACCAGCACTATAGCCACCAGCAAAGATATGGCTAAAACTGCACAAGAATCTGTCTTCGGGAATACTGGGAACAAGATTGACCTTTTTGGATACCTGAGCGTCCACGTCAAATATAGTAGGATCGCTAGCATTTCTTGGAGGCACAAAGCGAGAATGAAGCATCAAATCGACCTTTGCGAATTGCAACTATTTTTTTAAAAGAAAAAGAAAAGTACACACACACATAAGAATGTTAATTTTAGCTCAATTATCGTGTTTTTTTATAATATATATTACCTGTCGCATCATAGCCATTCCACTCATAAACTCACGATTCAATGCTAGTGTGTCTATCATTTCTTGAGGCATTGCGGCGCCCGTCTTGTAGTGACCAGACAATCTGGACAACCACTCTGGCTCTTGGCAAAAGTTTTCCATAAACTGGGATGCAACCTCAACAAAATCCCATTCTACACCATTAATACCAGAAGCTTGAGGGTAATCAACGGTTGTCAGCATCTATAAAAGCAAAGTATTTAGTATGAATATGTGTGTGAAGGAAGGTTTTGCTTATATTTCAAATTTAAATTATATGTATACATATTCTTTTGTATCTTACATGCTGAAGGCAGTGTCCAAATTCATGGAACAACGTTTCGACATCTCTAAACTTCATGAGTGAAGGTTCTCCCTCTGCGCGAGGAGGATCCTGATTACAGATCAAGTAGGCTAAAAAGTATCCAATAAAGCAAAAAAAGAAGACAGAAAATTAAATTGATTTTAGTATTGTTTTCGATCCGTTTCCACAGTCCAGTCCAATACAGTACAGCACTAACTACTATTGCTATTATTATTATTATTATTATTATTATTATTATTATTATTATACATATCCTTACCGACAGGAAGAGTAACCTCTCCATTTTCACGTTTGTAGCGAGTAGTAACTTCATCCATCCATGCACCGCTACGCTTTTCGAGAGGACGAGAGTAGAAGTCGCCATAAAAGTAAGCGCGAACATTGCCCTTTTCAGACACCTCAAACACCTTGACGTCTTCATGCCATTTGGTAATATTGTTGTCCTTAATATCTGATTCAGTCAACTCCCGGACCTGGACACCCAATACCTGATCAGCAACGTCAAATAGACCCTGGATCACATTTGGGAATGCAAAGTATTCGGAAATTGTCTCATCGTCAAATCTGTACTTTTCTTTGCGGTACTGCTCAGTAACATAAGCTGTATCCCAAGGAGACAAGGGTCCCTGGAGATTAAGTTTGGAGTTGGCAAACTCGGTGATTTCAGCAAGCTCTTTTTGAGCACTTTCGTACGAGGCATCAAACAAACGGTCGACTAATTCTTCGGCAGCAGGCACATTCTCCGCCATTTTGACTGTCAAAGACAGGTCGGCAAAACACTTGTAGCCAAGTAAGTTGGCTTTTTCATGCTTGAGAGACAAGATCTCATTGATGACGGTTTCGTTGTTGAGATCTCCATCGGATGCTTTTGTGACGCTGGCACGGTAGATCTGTTATAAGGTTTAGTCAATAAAATAATGCATATGTGTGTATGTGTTTTTTTTCTATAAAAAAAAACAAGAATAATGTGTACGCTGACCTTTTCACGGAGAGGTCTGTTTTTACAATTCTTCATGAAAGGAAGGTATACTGTGTGATCAAGGGTAATACAGAAACCTTCGACTTCTCGACTCTTTGCATTTTGCTTCAAGGTCTCCAAGAAAGTCTCTGAGCACCCCTCGAGCTCCGAAACATCCTCGACCACATGTTTGAATGCTTTTGTGGCATCCAAAATATGATTTCCGAACGACAGAGAGAGTTCGGAAAGACGCTCTGAAATTGCATTGAAGCGTTCCTTTTCGGGTGAACCATCGGCAAGTCCAATACCAGAGTGTTTCATGCCTCTCAATTTCTTGAGGACAATGCGTTGTTGGACCTTGTCGAGCGAATTCCAAGCGTTTGAGTTCACAAGTTCATCAAGGGCTTTGAACAAAGGAGCCGACTGGCTCATTAACAAACCCAACTTGACAGATCGAGGCTGCCCACATTATATATATATATAATTAATAAATTTATAGCTTAATAAGAACAGTAAGCACTATGGGGAGAAAAATGGTGCTTCCGATAATGGTTTTTGGAAAGTACTGTACATTCCAAAATCGCCATCATAAATAACCATTCATTTCCCATAATGAAACGCGTACTTTGTGTCTCACACAAATATAAAATACATAAATCTAGGGAGTTTTCGTACCCGGACTTTCTGAAGTGTCTCTCTTAATTCATCTGAGTTTTTGACACCGTTCAAATGAGATAAAAGGCTAATAGCACGCGAGGTCGTGTCTTGCAATTCATACACTAAAAATATTAAATATGCAACCATTTGTCAGAGAAATTTCATAATTTTATCAAGCCCATTGACTATTACTATTATTTATTTTTATATTCCTGTTCAGAGTTTATATAGCTTACATGGCATCATTGTGCCCTCCCATGTTGGGTTGAACTCTCTTTCCAGTTTCAAGAAATCTTCTTTTGTGGCATCAATAAGAGCTTCGAAAATTGGGACAGCTTCGGAAGGTTTGGTGTACTTTAAGATGCTTTCAAAATCAGGAAAGAGTTTCCAGTTAACAAATGGAGTTTGTTCAATCATTACTGCGGGTTTAGATGAATAAAGACGTTGAGAATAAAGGTTGGGTCGTTGTAATGAGGACGCGATATTTAAGCACGGGGTCAGGGCAGTCACCCGTAAGCGATTCGATACTGCTGCGGGTTGTATAACTCGGGTAGTTTGTCTAATTGCAGTTCTAAAAAGTAATCTCTGCATGGCGATTTAGATAAGCTATAAATAATCCCTCAGCTTGGAATTTTTATCCAAAAGTGTTGTAAAAAAAGAAAATGAATGAAATATTAGGGTAATCTTTTGTCTTTCTTTTTTCGTCTTTTTTTTTAAAAAAATTCGACAAGATTTGCTCCGATCAAAAAAGGAAAAAGAAATTAGAATTTCGAAAATTAATCAATAAAATTATTGTTAATTTTTATTTTTATTTTTATACGTTGAACTTTTGCTTTATTTTATTTCAATCGTATTTTGTGTTCTGTGTTTTATTTTAAGCTTCTGTGATCTTCTTTAGGAGTGCACGTTTCATAAACTGTTCTCTTGCCAGGGATCGTGTACACTAAATATATATAAAATAAGTATCTTGGTGGATTAAAGCTTCGGTTCTTTTTTACCTTCATAAATGTCGCAAGGTCAATACATTCCGAATTCAATGCTTTGCTCAAGTAATAAATTGTGTCTACAACCGCATTATCGTCTGCTACCAGATCAAACATCCTTTTATGCACACATAGCGGTCAATACATTAGGATTCTCTGTTAGGACTCACATACGCAAATATACTTACTGGTTGTAAACAACAGTTGTGCCGTAGATGGACTCATCCATAGATACATCAGGCATTGTATTAGCTGTAGAGATTGCTTCATCCAATTCAACTGTTTTTGTTGAAATAACCCGTATATTGTTCTTGAGACGTTCACGTATATCAAGAAGCATGCGCTGTTCATGCTCGATCTGGATATCGCCATCATTCAATTGGCGATTTGTCATCAATAAACTATCAATATCTCTTGATATAACCTGATTAAATTGCTCCATGCGCTCAGCTACTTTACGATAGAGTCGATCTTGAAGGTCACCAAGGTCTGTAAGAGATGGACCAATTTGTCCAGCTACAGGTGATGGTACTACACCTACAACTCCACTTCCTCCTACTCCTACTCCTGGTGCTACTGATACTGCTGCTACTGCTGGAGATGCTGTTGCTGCTGTTGGTGTTGATGATGAAGATAATGGAGCTGGATTTGGTACAGGCAATGTTGTGTGATTAGTGTAGTCTGAAGGACTCAAGGACATAGACTAGACACAAAGCACACAGCAAATAAATATATATATATATACAAAGAGAGGTATAAAATAGTAATAATGAAAACTTACAGCGAGACCCTTTTGTATATTGTAATAAGCTGTACCATCGCCTGCCCACCTAGACAAAGACGTGTTGGCTGACGGAGGAATATGTGGTGGAGAAAGAGCCATGTTAGTTGGGGTGGAAGGACTAGGGGATGGCCGGATGAACATATTTCTGTCAGGAACCGTGTCTTGTTTTTGTGGCGATCCTAATTGTGGCGGTGTGCTGAGCAAAGGGTTGGATGGTGGTTTGGTAAACACTGGGGGTTCTTGCCCAAATACTCCTTGAAGTATTGCAATCAATTCTAATAGAGTATGGTTCTAAACGTGTTTTTAGTATAAATATCCACACATATGTGTCTATGTAGGTATGTGTGTGTGCCCGTGTATGGGTACTTTTGTGGTATGTAGGAGATTTGAACCTTACATTGACATCGTTTTTCCATAAAGAACGATACGAGTGATAACATAATCCACTTTTATCTACATGCTTGCCTTCGCGTACAAGCATGTTTGCAGTCGGTTTGACGTATGGAATAGGAGGAAATATTGGATACTCGCTTGGGATCCAGAAAGCAACCGGGATATTGTATGGAATAGAGCGATAAGTGATTGGAATGGTGCCATGAAGACACAACAAAAGTTGAGTGTGGCCATCGTTGTAAGCTACAAAAAAAAGTAACCAGTGATTGGGTTTATTAAATAAACAAACTTTGATTCTTTTTACACATGTAAATCTGTGCATGCATGCATGTATATATCCATATAACCTACTGTAGGTATCCATCTTGGGTGTAAGAGAAATGTACATTTGTAGAACTGCATCGACATCTCGGACGGTGCGCTCGGCATCCTGATACTTTGGAGGAGATAAGCAACACAGTCTCAACATTCCATCATTCCACTTGCATTCTTAAGAGCAATCCGCAACCAGCTCTTTATATCTCCTGACAAGGAACTCATGGTCACTTATATATATATGTATATATATATAATTTTAAAGTATGTAGGCGGATTACAGTGTACCAAAAAGAAAGTAGAATGCAAAAAGGGAAACAGAGTAAAAAATGCATCGTTATATTAAAGCACCGCAATACATTGATCACGATAAGTTTATATATGCCATTCACCAGCGTACGAGGGAATTGTCGAGGGAATTGGATCGAGGGAATTGAGCCACGTCATATACGATTCCGATTGTTATTCAGCATCTGGTTTTTAATTATTTACTAAAATACCCTGTCAATTTTTATTTTTTTGTTAATGATTTGTTTCATTTTGGCTATATAGAATGAGCTTTTTAAAGTATGGTTGTTTAGTATATTCCTTTTTGTAACTAGAGTCCTTATTTTAGAAATTTTGTCAATTCCCTCGACAATTACATGGTGTTTTTGACCATGTAATTGTCGAGGGAATTGACAAATATATCCATTCGGAATCGAATAAATTACTATGAAAAGTAATTTTTCTTTCAATTCCCTCGTACGCTGGTGAATGGCATAAATATAGAATACAAGATGAGAAATTAATAGCAGTAATACTGAAAGATAAGTAATGTGAGAAAAAGAAAACTGGAAACTGGAAAAGGAAATGGGAAGATGTATGTAAAAAGGGTAAAGATGCCAAAAGGAGAATATGCGCGGGAGATGAAATGGAAGTGATAATAAAGGTAAGAGTATATGTAAAAATGTGATTATGGAAGAATGTGATAATATGTAGAAGTGATGAACGAGAAAAATAGGAAGGGAAACGATCGGAGAAGAAGGAAATAAATCGGGGTGGGCGAAGCTGGAGAACACACAACACCCGTGTCAATTGTGTCTGTGTGTTTATTATTAGAGAACCCGTTGGGATGTGATATTTTGCTAGACTGCTAAAAAAGAATTATTAGTGAAACCCAGTCAAAAAAAAAAGAAAAAACTCAACCATAGTTGATGAAAACATAAGTACTGTGACAAACATAAGAGAGATACATCTTAATAAACTTGGCTTTTCAAGACTTATTCTCTTAAGTAGGTATATAGAGAAGGCTCTTGACTATATTAGATTTATGTTCGAAGGTGGAAAAACTAGCTCAATTCTTAATAAAGACTTGGTGATGAAATGGCCTCCCTCTGTAAAATTTTACATCTTTTCATTGGAATTTAAATCGCCGCGTAAAGCAAAAGTGAGTGAAAATTTAGAATTTTCACTCGACAACGGGTTCTCTATTTTATTTTTTATTATTATTATTGTATTTAAATATTCCCTTTTTTGGATTGCTTCTTTGTCTTCTTTAGCTGATTACTTTGGTTAATTCACAATGTCCAATGTTTACACACTTGAACCTCAAACAAAGTAAAAAAGAAAGAAAATAAATGTCACACTTGGGAATTAGTATATCGATCTTGATTATTTGTCAATTATGCTATTATTATCATTACAATAATTTAGTGCAAAGGTGATCTTGCACACAACCGCAGGAGATGTTGAAATTGAACTTTGGGGAAAAGAAACGCCTCTGGCTGCCCGTAACTTTCTGCAATTGTGCATGGAAGGGTATTACGACAACACAATATTTCATCGCATCGTCCCACACTTTATTATTCAAGGTGGCGATCCTACCGGAACAGGACATGGTATTATTATTATTATTATTATTATATTAAATATATATATGTATTAGGTTGAGTGTAATAACTGTAACAAACATAAAATCATATAGGTGGTGAATCGATCTATGATGAATCCTTTCCGGATGAGTTTCATTCTCGCCTACGGTTTATTCGCCGTGGTTTGGTTGGCATGGCAAACAATGGCGAGAATGACAATGGTAGTCAGTTCTTTATTACTCTCGATCGTACGGACGAACTCACGAAAAAACATACCCTGTTTGGACGAGTTAAGACCTTTATTGTCCCTAAAGAAACGAATCTATCTGTTGATGATCACTAACATATTTTATGTATGTATGTCTATGTTCTTTATTCTGGATTGTTAGATTGGAGGCGATACAATTTTCAATGTTATGACTATGGCAGAAATGGAAGTAGACGAAAACGAACGACCTTTGTATCCACCCCGAATCAAATCTACAGAGATTGTATTGAATCCGTTTGATGATATTATTCCACGTATATCAGAGCGCGAGAAAATGGTCGCGAAGGCTATTGAAATGCAAAAAGCCGAACATTTGAATGCTGCCAAACGTCGTAAAAAGGAGAAAAAGTAAATCAAAGTAAAAGAAAAGCATAAAAGTAGACCCAAGCAAAAATAGAAGATCAAACGATAAATTAAATGGGATAAACTAATTATATATATATATATATAATTGTGTGTTTATAGGCAATTGAACCTTTTGTCATTTGGAGAAGAGGCTGCTGAATTTGAGCCTCCTGCTGAATTGGCGCCTTCAAAGATGAAGAGCAGCCACGACTTTTTACCTGAAGTCGAAGAAAATACAATTGAAGAAACACCAAAGGAAAACATTGAAAAAGCAGCTGAAAACACAGAGAAAAATGTTGAGGAAAAAATAAAAGACAGACCCGAAAAGGAAGAAAGCAAAAAGTCCAAAAGGAAACATGTTGATAAAAAGACACTTCAAAAGCAACCTGAAACCGAAAGTTATCGATTGGCACACAATGCGACCGAAGAAGTATTTACCGGATTTTCTCAAAGTCAATCTGCTGAGTTTGTAAAACCGGCTGTTGCTTCTGTCACTCCCAGGTAAAGTAGCAATAATAATAATATAAACGCGAAAGAGTTAGTGAATGGATACATTAATATAAAGAAGAATATAAAAGTACAATTGAATTACTAAGTCATGATATTATATATATATGCATGTGTGTGTGTGTGTCTATATAGCTCAAGACAAGCTCAAATTGAAGCATTAAAACAAGATATCCGCCGTATGGATCGTAATGATTTTGGAGAAGAAGACGCGAAAAAAAAGAAAAAGGAAAAGAAAAAGTCTTTACTCGAACTTGAACGTGAAAAATACCTTTCCCGTGGAGCTGCACTCAAAGGTGGCTTAAAAGCTCGCAAGGCAAACAAAAGTGAAGATGATGTAAGAAAGATTCATCAAAACGAAACAAAAAAGAAGAGAATGTATTTATATACTTTTATTCTAATGTTATCTACTGCAACATAGACATTCAAAAAACTCATGGCATTTCAAAAGAGATTATCTAATGTGGATGTATCAAAGGGAGAACAAGAAGAAGGAGAAAAAGAAGAACCACCTTGTAAATTGCATTCTGTGCCTGGATGTGAGTCTTGTAAAAGCATAACTGTTGAAGAACAACCAGAGACAGACGAAGGGTGGATGTCACATCAATTGGTGTTTGGCAAAGACTACAAGGGTAAAGACCTTATGCAACGGAAAGAAACTGTGGATGATTACGTTGTCATTGATCCCCGCGAGCGTGGTGCAAAGGCTAAAGAAGAAGAGTATTTGCGCAAAAAGTCTCAAAAGAGCAATGTTGGAGAAGTGTTTAGAAAGAGAGAAAGGGACGATCATAGCATCCGAGAATATCGTGGTAGTCGAGACGATCGTAGCAGTCGAGATGACTATCGACGTCGAGATGATCGTAATGATCGTAATGATCGTAATGATCGTCGAAGTGATTATGACAGTAGAAAACGCTCTCGGGATGACAGACGGTAATGTATGTACATATGTACATATGTATATATATATATATATGTGTGTGTTTCTTTCTTTCTTTCTTTCTTACTCTTCCTCTTTATCTTCCTTCCTTTTTTTTCATACATCATGGACATTAGTTATGTTTTATGATGATAAAGATGTATAGTTAAGATCAATAAAAATAACAAAAAGAAGACAAAAGATAGAGAAGCTATTTGCAATAATTCATGGCATCATGTAAGATAAGTTGAAAGAGGGGAGTGCGTGAATATATGGATTTGATTGATTGATTGATTGATTGATTGAGTGTGAGTGTATGTATGCGTTTGTGTGATTCTGCGATTCTGTGATTGCGTCTGCATGTGATTTGTGTGATTGTGGGTGCGTTGGTGCGTTTGTTTGTTTGTTTTTTTTTCATTTTTTTTAAAACAAAAACCAAAAAAGGAAGAAAGAGAGAAGTGGTCTAGTCTGTCTTTTCTTTGCCCTTGCCCTTCTCTTCTTCTGATGTTGCCTCGTCTTCTTCTTCCTTGTGCTTTTTTGAAGATACTACCCCATCAGTTTCAAATTTACGCTTCATTTTTCGAACATGCGAAGCAGAAGAGGGTTTTTCTGTGGTCGGTGAAAGTGAAAAGGCCGTGGAAACTTCAGGAACAGCTGCCTCCTCTGTACCAGAAATATTTGTAGTTGTTGTCTTCTTGGCAGCCGCAGGAGTGTTGCTGCTGTTGCTGCTGCTGCTGGAGTTGTTTCTGTTGTCGTTATTATTATTATTATTATTAGTTGCTGTAGTGCCATTTGCTGCGGCAGGAGTATCAGTTGATCGCATCGCATTCCAATTTTGTCGTCTTGGACTGGGGCGCAGATTGAGGAAATTACGTGGACTTTGGGCGTCAATATCAGCATTCCCAAGTACAGACCCAATCAAGTGGTGGATCATGCTCATGCCTTGGACAATTCGTGCAGTACGCAGTGTGCGTTGGTAAATTGTAAATTGTCGTTCGTTTGCCTGTAAATAGCAATAGTAGTAGTAGATGAGATTATTGAATGATCTTGCTAGACTGATCTTTGCTTACTTCTGTATTGTCTTCCTCGCCCTCTTCTTGTAACGCGTCAGCCATACTATTCAGTTGGGGTACGGCGAGTTCCATCAATTCAGCAAGTTCGCGCACCACTACGCCAACTTGTGCTGCTTGACGATTACCACCTGATTGAAGCCTGGATCGAATATGCTGCGTCTGCTCATGAGACGAGTTTGAAATGACTGGGTTTACAGGTACTTCTATTAGTCAGATCCCCCAAAAAGAAAAAGAAGAAGAGAAAAAAAAAGGTCCAAATGTTAATTATTGATTATTATTTGACCAAGTTCAATAAGCTTTTCTGACCTTCTGAGAGAGGTGCTTCGAGCATTTCCCGGACATTTCGGATCGAATTCATGGTTCTCACTAGCCGAACTTCTACCGAAGACTTTAAAAAAAAACCCCCCAACCCATAATACAATTTTTAAATAAATAGGTATACAAATTGTATATATATGTGTGTGTATGTGTGTGTATGTGTGTGCATTTATCCCTAACAACAACTTATAATATAGCATTGACTTACGGGAAAAGGTATTCCTGCTGGGGTTCTGGATTCAAATGCACCGGCAATCGAAGCTGGTGGCAAATCAGATGGATTCTGACCGAGGGAAAAGGCAAATGGCCAGCGATTGAGACTGGATATTCCTGAGCGCGATTCCGCCTTTTAATTATTTGTTAAATCATAGTATATTTACAAACAAAACATTTACACATACACACATACACGCACGCACGTACGCAAGTACGCACGCGAATCTTTAGTCTTTTTTTTTCCTTACCGAAGCTCGATTACCAGCATGATCACCTCCTGTAGTATTTGCTCCTCCCCCAGTTGCAGTATTTGTAGTAGTTGGACGAGATCGACCGGTATATCCGGGCCCTATTCCAGAAATTCCACTCATTACAGAACTAATCAACTACAAGTATATTGAGAATAATAGAATAATAAAAACAGTGAGCAAATAAATAAATTAATAAAAGTATGTAAGTATATATATATGTATGTGTGTGTGTGTGTATGTAGTATAAAAAAAAGTAATAATTCATAAGCAGCGAAAGTCTTACCGAACTAGCTTCGCTCATATCACCCATACTGGTATCTACAGTAATGAGTGTATAGCCTTCCATCATTGGAAATCTACTGGAGAGTGGTGGTAAATTACGTGGAAGTCCTCTACTGAATGCACGTCGAGAACTTTGAGAACGAGGTTCGTCTTGAAAAGTAAAATAAAATTAATAAAGGGGGACATACGCTTTTTTAGCAAAAAAAAAAGAAAGTTGTTTTTGTAGAATATAACAATAACTATAAAATGAAGAAGTATACCATTCATTGGATTCTGAGGTGCATCAACCGGGCGAACTACAAGATGGATGACTTTTCCGTCATCGAGATTGGCTGATTGTAAAGAATTAAATAAATGAATAAAAATAATAAAGTTGAGTAACAAGTAACAAGTAATATAAAGTAATGCTTATATTATATACGCAAACGTACACACACATTTATATATATTCCACATGTAATTTCTACGTATAACATGAGATGTGATGCAGCACAATGTGCTGTATGCATTTATATAAATAAATGCTTTTTATATATATTCTTTTCTTTTAAAGAAGAGAAATAATACCAATAAAAATCATACCATAGTCAGCCAACTGCTTATCGTCCTTGAGGACCTTTCCTTGGAATATGAGTCGTTGTCTTCCGGTGTCTACTGCAAAGACTGTTTCAATCTCACTTTTAAGATGAAGAACCGAAGCATTACGAGGAACAGTAACAGCATGGGTTCTCTGTTCGAGTGACTTGATTTGCAATGCCATTACATTGACTTGGTGATGGGCATCAGGTAAAGTTGAACTCGTACGACTGTTGGATCGTTTTGCATCATTATGTGTTTCGGACATTAAGCTTTGTGAATTGTTTTTGTTGTTGTCGTTTTTATATAAATAAATAAGTAAATGAATATATCTATATCGTATATAATATTATTATTTTATATTCTTCTGCTTCTTGTGTTTGTTTTTTTAAGCTTGTGTGTATCTGAGTGAGTGCACGGCTTACAAATAATAAGAAAGTGAAAGTGAAAATGAAAAGAGATTTGTATGCTGATTGGTATGAATAAAGTAGGTCTACCAAATTAAGCAAGCAAGCAATATAAATATAGAGAAGAAGTGGAAGAGAGTAGTAGAAGTAGAAGAAGAAGAAAAAAGAAGAAAGAGGGGGGGGGGAGAGAGAGAGATTTGGAAAGAGGAGGTTGGATAGATTCAAGAACAGTCACAGACCCTTTTATTTATCTATCTATCTATTTTATTTATTTATATTGGTTTTAATAGTGTGTAGTTTAATGGATATTAGAGAGTATGTGCTTTTGTTTGTATGAAATGAAAAGCATGGTAATTCAGACAAGGGTGGTACAAGCCCTACATTGTGAGCTCATATATATATATACTATTGTGAATTAAATTGAAATTAAATAACAGTCTACCACGAGATGAGAGGCTTTTTATTACTTGGTTTTCTTATTCTGTATTCTCTAGAGCATTTTCTTTGGTAGATAATCACAGATAGAAACAATTGATCACTATAATAAAAATAAAAAGGCCACTTTTGTAGGGGGAGGGGGGTTTGTAGATTTTCCGGGGTTTAAGAGTTGTTTTAAGGTTGAATTTTTTGATATTAGGCAATATCACTAGAGTTTATAATAAACCTTGCCATTTATAATTTCTTCTACAAGCCTATTTTTATAATATATATATACAACCGTTATATACATTTGATTAGCCAATAAGAATGTTAGCTTTTAACCTATTAGTTTTACTTTTCGGCTAATAGAGAAATGATATAAACCTGCACTGTAGAAAAAAATCTACGAGTATTTGAAACAAGCTGCCTTATTTTGGAAAGAAATGGCAGATTTTTGAACACCATCTAGCACTTACCAAGTTTAGAATATCTCTATCCTATTTTGGCTCTAGAGAAATATTTTGAAGATGAAAGTCTCGTCGTCAACCCAGGAAACCATCTTGATTTCCGAATAGAGAGAACTACTTGCTTGATTAAAGAAAAATCAACTAGAGGGTCAAACAAGCCCTATGAACTTTGTACCTTGGATCTGAGCTTATACCAGAAACAGTCATACCTACTGATATTTTTTTTTAATGCGAACTTGTGTTTTATTTCGTAAAGTCTTTTTCTTTCTATTTCTTCTCACTATTACTATTGTTGACAAGTCTTTCAGGCTTTACAAAGTACTAACCAATAACCTATAGCTTTTAGGCGATAACAATATTAAGCAAGAGATCTATAACAAGACCCTATAACACAAAACATTTTATCAAAGCCTTACAAGATAAGCACACATACACATATTCTATAGATAGAATCACTGTAGGAAATGGCAGGATTTATACCTCCGATCTCGTACCGAGTTACGAACTCGTAACTTTTATAGCCAATAGCATGCCTGTTTTAGCCTATTAGTTTTACTTTTTGTCAAATACGATTTATGGGATTTTCTATTATTTTGCATCTAAGCCAATAAAATATTCTAAATATGGCAGATCTTTACCTTTTTAGGTATTTATATTCTCTTTATGATTGGTTCAACAAATGCATGATATTTTATATTGAATTTTTTTGGTTTTTATTGATCAAAATAATACAAGTTAAACATAAAGAAGTATGCGAAGAAGAAGTACTATTTTTTATGATATTTAGTAGCAGCTTAAGCTATACATTTATTAAGTAATATACATATATCTATTTCTATGTAATACTTTCTACATTGTTTTATCTAAAAAAAAAAAGCTATTTTCTAAGTACTATGATATTGATGAAGGCATGTATATTTCTTAATTGATTCTTTTAATCAAAGAGTATAAACCTGCTTTGTGTTAACATTGTTATGCTTGAGTCCTACTTTTGAAAAAACAGAAGACAGATTCCCTGCGATTCTCGAAATCTACCGAGATCTCTAATGAGCATGCGAGCAATCTTGACAACCAAATTGTACTTGATGCAGATATTTTTCTGTCAATTCTTCTCAGATTGCTTTCTTTTGTCAACTTTGCTGATTCGTATTTTATTAATACTAGCCTTCATAACTATTAAGTGTGTTCCTTTTAGAGACTTTTAATAATTTTAGACCTTGTGAAAAAAAAAAGAAATAAAGAGAAATAAGAAAAAGACTTTACAGAATAAAAAAAAATTATTGCATTAAAAAGTGAGGTATTCGGGATTGTTTATGGGTTAGTATCTCAATAATGGGAAAAGTAGATACTGTAGTGTTATTTATTAAAGAGACAAAATAATAAGGAGTTATAAATCACATGACTTACATCAAACCGTTAAAAAGAAAGAGAGATACTCTGCACGTGAGTTATATGGAATCTAATCATCTTTCGATTGCATTCAATATCTTAATTATTGATAAATCTCTATTGTAATGTAAATCATGTCCATATAACAAAATGTCTTTACTATTAAATCACTGTTTGCTTTGAACATCTTTAAATTTTTTTTTCTTATTACTACCAACTATTATTATTATTATACTTATAAATTATATATAAACAAGACATTCTAATGAACTTTTACAGCTATACTTTACTTAATTTAGCTACTATTACTTGAAGATATTCTCTTGAATTTATTCTAATTATCATATTACTTCAGCACGTTGTTGATTTACATATGATTCAAATCTATTTTAAATTATGACAAGTCTGTCATTATTGGTACAATCGTTATTTTGAAAAAGAGTATATATAGGGTCCCTGTAAAGTTCATGTCTTTCAGAAAAATAATAATCTTACATATTTTCTTTACTATTTATCTATCTCCATTTACACTTGAATTTAGCTTAATCACAAAACCAATTACAATTTATCAAACATCAATATGACTCCTGCTGGACCTATTTGTGCTTCATGTAAACAATTGGGTCACAGCAGGGGATCAAATTTTTCTTGCCCTTTGAATCCAAGACACAAAACTCTCTTGATCCCCCAAAAGAGAACCAGTGATAATCTCTCTGCCCAAGAAGAATATCAAGCAGAGAGTATTAGAGATAACATTAAAACAGATTACTTTAATTCATCGGATCGACTTGCATAGTTTCTAACTTATTTGCTTTCATCTGCATTTAAATGTTTATTTAACTGGTGCTTCGAGACCAAGGGTTGAAGCTGTTCAGAATTCTGTGGTACTTACTGTGGCAGAAATCAATGCTCTCTCCCGTGCTGCCCAATATCCTGCAGAGAGTAGTCGAGGTAAATAAATAAAGTGTAATTGATTAATATTCAGCAAAAATTCTAATCATTTTTTCTATTCTATATATTTCTGCATTTAGCTGCTGCTTCGAGACCAAGAGTTGAAGCTGTCCAGAGTCGTGTGGTGCTCACCATAGCAGAAATCATTGCTCTCTCCCGTGCTGCCCAATATCCTGCAGAGAGTAGTCGGGGTAAATAAATATAGCGTAATTGATTAATATTCAGCAAAAATTCTGATCATTTTTCCTACTCTATTTATTTTTCTATTTAGCTGCTGCTTCAAGACCAAGAGTTGAAGCTGTCCGGGATTTTGTTGTACCCACACAACTATTGTCAATTGACCTTTCCTTCACAGAACAATATACTGCAGAGAGCGACAGAGATAATTTTTAAAATTATATATAAATTGCCACAATTATTAATTATTTTTTAATATTTTTATTATAAATCTAACTGCCGCTTTTGAGGCTTTGCAAGTTTCTGATGTTGAGAGAGTCTTGGATTTGACTACCACCACTGCCACTGCCACTGCCACTGTTATTCCCCGCTGTTCCAGCTGTAATGGAATTGGTCACCAACGGAGTAACAGCTTGCAGTGTCCTAACAACCAAAGGAACCGCAATTTTGTCCCCGGCCAGTTAACTACCACTCACAACATGGCCCGGCGTACTACCGCCTCTGCAATGGTACCCGCCTTATATGCAATGACTTTGGCAGATATGTCATCAAGGCTACCATTGTAACTGGATCAAGTGCTGGAAAGGTGGTGCTTATCCCCAGAATCAAGCTGAACCCAACTGGATCGACCATGTCCATTGAGTTCAAGCGATGTCAATTTCCAGTCCGCCTTGCCTTTGCCATGACTATCAACAAGTTCCAAGGCCAGATCCTTGACAAAGTTGGTCTGTACCTTCCCGACCATGTCTTTGGTCATGGGCAGTTGTATGTCGCTCTCTCTCGGGTCCGAACTCCAAACTCAGTAAAAATCATGGTTGATATGGACAGTATTTCTACCGAAGCAACCAGCAATGTCTATATAAACAATGTTGTTTATAATGAAGTGCTTTCTAGAAATTAACTAATCTGTTCCATATCATATGCTTTCTGCCCTATGTCTTTATCCAAATATGCCAATCTTTTTCTATATGTTTTATTTTTATTTTTGTATTTTTTGTATTCACGTTATTTCTGCTTATACCTATCTTTATCTTTATGTTTTTTTTTTCAAATATTTTAATAATTTTTTTTTAAAATTGTCAATACCAATTGTGTATATGACAAAGTATAACAATTTCTTTCCTTTTTGAAAATATCAAAATACAAACCCCCAAAAAAAATATGGCTTCAAGATATATTCCTTACTATTATTTTATTTTTATTGCTACAATAAATCTTTATAATAACAAAATCCAAATAAACTCAGACGAACGGTTTTTTCTTTCTTTTCATAGTATGGTTATTTCTTCTCAATGCAGTCCCGCTGGGGACGCCGGTCTACCTCGTATGGTGTTAAAATCACCGTCCCTGAATTGCTTTCTGCCTGACCCGTAGGAAAGCAATCATACATCGCATTAAAGTCTTATATCTCTGTTCAAAACCCTCTTCCTCTTTTTCCTCTTTCTGTCCCTTTGTATCTGTGTGATTGTCCTGAGTGAAATCAACAGCGTTCTCTTAAATTCTTCTCTAAACTTATCTTCTCGTACCTTGCTGTCTATCTGTCTTGATTGTCCCGAGTAAAATCAGCAGTATTTTTATTTTCTTCTTCTACCTTACCTTCCTGTGCCTTGCTGTTTTACCTGTTTGGATTGTCCCGAGCGAAATCGACAGTGTTCCTATACCTCCTTTCACCTTTTACCTTAACACTTTTATTTCTTTTCCATCCTCAACTGTCCCGAGTGAAGTTGAACATTCAATCGCCTTTCTAAATACTCTGTATCCCTTCCATATTCACCTTTCTCTTTATTATCCTCTTTCCCACCCGAACTCGTACTCCAGAATTACATTTGTAATTCTTCTTCAATATATTTTATTCTTATTTTCTGACCAAGTTACACACACAACAAACTCAACACGCGTCAATTTAAAGGTCTGGGTGCACAGCTTTTATAGTCACTAACATGCCAGATTTTAACCTTTTAGTTTTACTTTTTGACAAATATGATTTATGGGATTTCAGATTATTTTGCATCTAATCCAATCAAATATTTTAAATATGGTATATCTATTCTTCTTATAAATAGTCCAACAAATGCATGATGTTTTATATTGGAATTTTATGGTTTCTATTGATCAAAATAATAGAAGAAGTACTGATTTATATGATATTTAGTAACAGTCTAAGCTATAGATTAGCTATATAACATGCATATACATATTATCTATTGCTACCTGCTACTTGCTACCTTTTTTATATCTAATATATATATATATAATTCTCTAAATACTATACTATTGATTTTTATTTTATCATAAAGTATAAGCCTGTTTTGTGTTGACATTGCTATGCCTGATTCCTACTTTTGAAAAGCCAAAAGATAGATTCCATGTGATTCTTTAAATACATTATTCCTAATAAGCATACGAGTAACCTTGACAACCAAACTATACATCATCCAAATACTTCTTTTTCTGTCAATTCTGCTCAAATTACTCTTGATTGTCAATTCCACTGACTCATATTTCATCAATACTAGTTTTGCAACCTTTAGGCAGTCCAACGTACAATATTCCTCTAAAATGACTTTCTGGACTAAAAGCAAAACAATCATATTTGAATATCAGCCTCAGGATACTAAAATGAGTTTAGAGCATCCTGAACTTAGTAAGCGCGTGTCGTACTTTAAAAGTTACAAGTCTTCAAAATTATTGTACTTTTTTTCTATAATGTAGGTTCAATTGCGCTTATAGATTTATCATTAAAATAAGATTAAGCATCTTAATAGGTACAATATATATGCGAATGATAAGATTCAGATGACGTTTACAAATTCATGACGCAATCTAATATCGATTATTCATAATGTAGGGTACTAACAAGATTGTACCTGTTTTTCGTACCATCAAATATCACAATACGATATATCTACAAATTAATACAGTAATATTATATATATATATATATGCGTGTGTGTGTGTGTGTGAGTTTTAATTAATGCTGTGTATGAAAAGACAATTTTCTGTCAAATAATGAAAAATGAGGTGGAGATGGGTCTGTGTGATTGGTAGTGTTGCTAGACCAAGGTCGCCATCCTGGGGTCAGGTGAGGTGGTCTGCCAATGGGAGTAGTTCGATATGAGAGCGGATCAGAACCTATAAGGGTGTCTTCAAAGAGCTTGTAGTCACGACTGGGGCCTGGACGAGCAGCAATATTGATCTCAAGTCCAGTGGAAAAGGGAGAGTACCAGTTTTGGCGCTGGATTGGTTGATGGGTGGGTGGGATAATGGCTGGTTGTAAAGGTGGTTGTGGTTGCGGTTGTCGTGGTTGCAGTTTCTGCAGTTGTCGTGGTTTAAGTAAAGGAAGAGGAGTATCAGGTAATGTTGTCATTGGAAGAGTTTCTGTCAAGTCTAAGGTCGAGGTCGAGGTCGAGGGTGATGAGGGTGATGAGGGTGACGAGTATGGGTTGGTGTGAATCGATGGCATTAAAGGTTCGCAGTTCAAAGTATGCTTTGAGTATTTTGACTTGTTCCGAGGTGTCTTGCGTTGATGTGTCACGGCTTGTGGTTCCTTGAGTGGTTTGTGCTCGGGTTGGGGTTTAATAACGGTAGTGTTTATGGCGGCCATAGGTTGTGGTACGGCATCTGGTGTTTGTAATGGTGTCTTTGTTTCTTTTGACTTTAATGTTGATGATAATAAGATTGATGATGGTGATGATGATGATGATGATAATGATGATGATATTGATATTGATAAAGATGTTGATTGTGGTTGTTGTATGGTTTGTAGTGATGATGATGTATTTCGAGTGTCGATTTGTTTATCTGGGTTTTGATTGTGGTGGTTGTTGTGATGTGTAGGTTTCTTCTTCTTCTTCTTCTTCTTTTCTGAGACTATCTCTTTCTTCTCTGGTTCGATCAAAGAATCGACTGCAGACGAAGTTGATGTTGATGGTGTTATAGGTGGAGTTGGATCCAGACGGGTTGACATGCGTTGGATTCGAGGCATTTCAAACCGACAGGGCATGGTGTCTGTAGAAGGATTCCAATAATTCTTTTCGTACGAACCATCAATTGCTGAACGCATCTGTCAAAAACAAAAAAAAAAAACAGAAAAAAAGTAAGATTTTTTTTAGAGAGAGAAAAAAAAACAAAGAAATGTATGTATGTATTTAACTTACTTTCACAAGCCATCGACTACCACACAAAAGAACAGTGAGGCCAAGACATGACCAGACAAGAGGTCTAGCAAGAGAACTATAGAAAGCCGGGGTTGCGCAGTCAGGTGGATTAATATGAGGAGGATCCAAAAGAGGAGAGTGGGCCTTGACTAAGGTTGAGATGGCCAGTAGAATTGCTACACTGATCAATAAGCTTTGACCAATGATGCTAGTAAGTCTACCCATCTATATCTATATTTTTGTGTGTGGTGTGTGCGTGTTTAGTGCTTATATAAACATAAGTATAAAAAGTAAATAGCAAATAGTAAAAGAAGTCCAAGAAAGGAAGAAGAAGAAGAAAAATAAATAAAAAAAAGAGAGAGAAAGAGAGAGTCAAATTTTATAGTCAAAAAATAAATAAATAAATTATAACAAGGACAGAAAAAAAAAAGAAAAAAAATTCAAGATCAATTAATTTTTTTTTTTTTTTACTATATTTTTTTGGGGAGGCATTTGAATAGAATTTTTATTTTTTTTATATATATAAAATAAAAAGACTGCCTTTTTATCAAATTGTTTCAATCTCCGGTTTTATTTTTTTTATTTTGTATTGGTAGAATCCATTAACCAAGTTATATATATAAAATAAAATAAAATAAAATAAACTTAATTTATATATCTTCTTAATCAATCAATTATCAAAATTGCTCCTCTTGACAGAAACAAATTTAGGAATCTTTAAGATTTGATCAAGTTTTTAGTGCATTTGGATAATAGGTGACTTGTAAGAGTATTCTGCTGCTGATTTATATTAATCCTTTAAATAGATAAAATGCATCAAAAATTGAGTTCAATTTTTTTATAGATATATTTTCTGTTATGATTTTTGGTATTATATTGTCATTTTTAAAAAAGGTCTGCAAAAGGGTCTTTTGGTTGGTTTGTTTGTTGTTGTTGCTGAGGTTGGGTAGACGCAGATCCAAATAAATCATTAGAAAAGCTGGTAGCTTGAGAACCACTCGAAGGTGCAGGAGAATTGAAAAGATCCATCATATCCAACATATTGCTGCTATTCTGTTCAACAGGTGGTCGCGACCCTCCACTGTTCCCAATCGACAACAAATCATTCAATGATCCTAATTGATTACGAGGACTTTCGTTAACAATAGGCGAGCCAGCGGCGTTACTGGGCTCATCCCAATCAAGATCCAACAAATTGCCAATGTCGTTGTTCTTAATAGCAGCTTGAATATTAGGAGGAGGAGCTGTAACATCGTCTTCATCACCAGGACTACCAAAAAAATATTTAAATATCAATTCTAATTTGTTCTGAACACAAAATAGAAAAAATCATTTGACATTTGTAAAGCTTACTCTGCCTGGGCACGGTTCACATTATCAGCACCGTATTTCTTGCCAGCAATGAATGTCTCTGGTGGCTTATGGTACACTGACGAAAGTGTACCGATGTGATACAAAAGATCGTCTAAAAGAGCCGGAGACAAGCCTGAATTTTCACCTGCGATAGGTGGTTTTTCTGACAAGACCACGGCCTAAAAATAAATATAAATAAACGTTTTTGTTTTGTTCAGACATTAGGAAATCTCTCTCTCTTTCTCTCTCTATCTCTTTTACCTTTGCAGCCTGAGGGTCTGTAGATAACAAGCGCCAGTACACATATGCTCTGTCACGAATATCTGCATTATCACATTCTGTTGTCGCAGTCTGAAGAACACGTTGGACAAGATCCTGGTTTTCAGAAGGCTTTTTCAAGAAGAGCTTGACGGTGGCTGTCAATAACTGAAGCTGAACCTATGATGTCTTTACTGTTAGAAAATATAGCCTTTCTCTCTTTATCATCATGTTGTTACCTGCGCATTCTCTTCCTTGAAGTTCTCCAAAAAGGTATTTATCAAATCATCGGCATTATCGATCCTTTCGGCATACTCTCCGATAATCCATGTCAATGATGCCTTTGCTTCCGGTTCATCAAGAGCATCCAGATTCTCGCACAAAGTAGGAATAATGCCTTCATAACGGTGAGGATATTTGCGGAAAATATCCTACAGATTTTTTATAAAGAAAAACACAATATCAACATTACTTAGCCTTGTACGCTAAATACATAACTACACATATGGGTCTATATATTGCTATATATTCTTGCCTTGATTACAACAATGGCCTCTTGCACAACATAGCTCACGCCAGTGTTGATCAGATCTAAAAGTACGTTAATGCAACGCTCTGCAGCCTCTTCAATTTTGATAGCACAACGACCAATAGCACTGATTGATCGTCTCACGAAATCAACATCAACTTCATTGGCATACCTACACATAAATGACACTCTTAGTAAAGCACTCTTATATTTTCTCAAACAACAACCTTTGTCATCTATCTCTCTTTTCTCCCTCTTATCTGATAACCGTAAATTCAATCGAGACACTTACTCTTTCAATTCACTTAAAAGTTGATCCACATTGCGATCGTTGCACAGGCGAATCAAGATTTCTAATTTCTCGAGCTTGACATAAGGTGGATCATTGTACTTGCAAAAAAAGACCCGCATTTCGTTGCTCAGAACCTCAGGGCGTCTTTGTAAAATAAGATTGATATTACGCAGTGCAATGTACTGAACCTCGGGTGGGCTTGACAACAAGGTTACTACATATATATTTTATTAGTATTATTATTAGAAAAATCATAATGTTAAGAGACAAGTGTATTATATATATATATTACCAAGAGGAGGTGCCATCTTTCTGCAGAATCCCTTTATAAGGACATCGTCTTTGACATGGCGCATATTAATCATCAGAACCTGAATAAGACCGAAAAATACATATCAATATTTTCCTTTTTTTTTACTTTTATATCTTACATATTATAGATTAATATGTCATATATATTTATTGATTTACCTTGATGGCAGCCAAAACAACTGCTCCGTTGGCATGTTGCAGGCGAGGAAGAACACGTTCGCAGATACCTTCTGCCTCTTTACCTCCAGATACCTTGTAGTCAGCCAAAGCTGTTAAGATAGCAATCTGGCCCCACCTTTTTTTTTAAAAATATATATATATATATACGTGTGTGTGTGTGCGGTGAGAACTCCTGATAGCTTAATAGTAGTTAATATTGTGGAAATACTTACTCAGTGCACTCGTTTAGTGCATGTAGCAACTTGTTTAGGGTCGTACTGTTGATAATAAACACTTCGCTTTCGGGAGATGCTTCCTGGATATCTGACAATGCTACCACGGCATTGGCTACTACCATAGGATTTATGTCCGAAACAAGCTCTTTGACCATGTTAACAAAATCTTGCTCGATTGTCAGTTCTGGATTGAGTTCATACACCTTTGCCACACACACTGCGGCTGTTTTACGAACATAGGGGTTTTCATCCTATATTTATTTATTTATTTATTTATTTATTTAAAGCACCTCTGTCTTTACATCCACATCCACGCAATGCAATAATGTAACAAATCATCTGTTCTTTATATATATTAATCTCTCATAAGTATACCTTTAAACATTTGCGCAAAGGCTCCGTAAGATAATCAATGATTTTATCCACTCGCAAGCATCCCATGGTACGAATAGCAAGAGCTCTAATAAGAGGATTCGGATCATCTGTGTCCTGTTTTTTTAAAAAAAAAATAAAGGCAATAAGTTAGATGATTAGTTTGTATTGATATTTGATCTTTATAAACAAAACAAAAACAAAATAAAAACTCACTTTGACAAATGTATTCACGGCAAGAATTACGAGTTCTGGTTGAGTCTTTGCATAGTTCATCAGATAAAGGTAGACCAGTTTCTTCAACTCGAGATCCTCTGTCTGCATGTTCTTGAGAACATCCGGAAACAGGCCGCTGACGTCCTTGCCAACTGTCATGTTTGCAATGACCTTTTTCACAGCATCTTTTCTTATATGGCGATACTCACTATTGAGCTCCGATTTTAGTTCGTAGTTTTCACCTATGTTGATGGAATGATAATAATAAAAAAGAAAAAAGGCGTTTAATGACCTAGATGATGTGTTTCGTACACAATATATATATATAAAAGCAAGTGATGGGGTGGGTGTGTATATTTCTGGTCCTGCTTGCCTTTCTTGGTGGTAGTAAAGAATCTTGGTCGACTCATTCAAATGGTGTGCTGTAGGATATAAACAAGGTGTAGCTTTTTGTTTTTGTTTTTGTTTTTTTTCTGTTTTAATTGTTTTAATACGGATGAGGTTTCTACTGATTTTATTTTTATTTTTATTTTAAATTTAATTTAATTTAATTTAATTTAATTTAATTTAATTTATATAATAAAATAAAATGCACCAAGGAATATTACTTGAAAGCGAAAAGTTGAGGAGAGAACTTTGGACGTCTCTCTCTCTCTCTCTCTCTCTCTCTTTCTACTTTTGTGGGACGATAAAGACCAAGATGAACAAGAGGGTAAGCGCCATTTCAATGGTTCAACGTCACAAGCGCGTGAATATGAATTTGGAAAGCAAGATTTTGGCATGAACCCAAAGATGACAATCTATAAAGGCATAACACAAAATGTATATTTGTATAAAAGATTTATATTAGAGTAAGTTATTGGCGTATATATACTTCTTCTTCTTTTGCTTGAAAGGTACTTTATGTATATATGTATAAGAATAAATGTAATTAAAGGGTTTCATCGTAAAATCAAAAAGAGACTAGGGAGACAGGAAATAAAAATGTGGTGTATTAAATAGAGCGATGAGACTGTGCCGCATAACTATTTATTCTTGCTGACATTGCTTCCATATCTTTCTTGTACTTCTCCACTGTTTGCCGAGGGCTATCCTTATTTATAATCGATTGGTTTATACCCTCCGTCAAACGTTGTAAATCTTTCTGTACACGCTCAATAAAACAATGTGTGTTTGCCTTGAGCCGCAATCGTGAAGCCTGGATTTCACGTACTTGCTGGGACCGCCTGACAATATCGGTCCGGATCTGCTTCTCTAGACGCTTTGCCCACTGTTCGCTCTGTATCGTGACACGATAGATATGCTGCTGTACAAGCTCAAGGTCACGGTCCAAGCTGCCTGCCTCACGTTCAAACCGATTCTCTAGACTGCTGACCGATTCTCGAAACACGTTCTGCTGACGCTCGACCAACGCTTTCTCGGCCACAGTTGTGTTCCGATCATTTTCAAGCACCAGTTCTCGCTTCCGTAGATCCTCAAGCTGTTTGCGGGACATCATGGCCTCGGTCTTGAGGTGCTTGACTCGAGCCTCCAGATCGGTTGACGACGTCTTGGTGGTCGCCACCACCGCCTGTTTTGAGGTTAGAATTTGCATCATGTCTTGGATATTCACTCTGTAATCTTGATTGGTTTCGAGATAATGATGTGACTGAGACTCGTACATTCGTTTCGCTTGCCTTGCAGCGTCCAACTAAGGTTAAAGAAAATATATTTTAGAGAAAATATAACAACAACAACAAATATTGTCTAGTAGTGGATTTTTTTTTACTTGTGTTTGAGCAGTAGCCAATTCATTTTGAAGGTTGTCCAAAGTGGTCTGGAGCTGGCCAATTACTTTTGCCGAGCGAGAACTAGATACAGACGGCTGGGGGTGTATAACTGGTGCTGGTATCATGCTACCCAATAGTATATTGCTGTGGTTCATCGATTCTTGGACATGTAGCATTTGGAAATGATGTATACTATTAGATAAAAGTAGATGAAGTAAATGAAGTAGATGAAGAGGAAGCAAAGAAATAACAGCAAGTAGTATAACTAAATAAAATAGGGGAAATGGGGGTAAGGAATAGGGGATCAAGTTAAGGATGGAAGTGCAATAAAGATATACAAAAATACAAGGGTTCGAAGGATATAAGAAGTTTGGTCAATGCTTAATGGGAGTGGGGGGAGTGTGTAAAAGTTTCTTTGGACTTGCTGTGGTCTCAGAGCCACTTTTTGATTTTTGTTTCTTAAACCACGAGTATAGTTGCATCAAGGGGTATCAAGATAAAGAAGTTTACCCCTCCTCCTTTCTCGACTGGACTTAACTGGACTAAACTCCCTTTATTATGTTGATAAAAGTCTCTAGGTACATACATACAGTTGGTTCTTGTAATTGAATCAAATAGAGTTTTTCTTTACTTAACACAGCCCTTTATTTTTTAAGCAACATAAATAGTCTTGTACTCAATGGAAATCAACCAAAGAAACAAAGAAGGTATTGAAGGCTATCAAGACCAGTATATGAGTATTCTACAAATTTCTCATTTTTCTCTTCAAAAACATACTCTTTACTCCCAAAAAGAAAAAGCATCTCAGACTCGATTTTACATGGGGTTCTTTTTGGTTGTTGGAAATAGCCATACTAGAAACAATAGGTCCATAACATTTATATAGCCATATAGTATGTTCCTTTAAATAATAACAATAATGTCTTGGCATCTGTTGATTTTCAAGACCAAAGATTTTTGTCGATTTTTAAAGATATAGATAAAAGAATTAGAAGAATACAGAGACAAACCCTACATATCTTTCTTTTGTTCATTCTGGGTTCATATTACAGTGAAACACACTATACACGGCCCACAATTCGAAAATTTAAGGCGCACAATTGGGTTCTCTGATAGAGAACCCGTTGGGATGTGATATTTTCAAAGACTGCTAAAAAAATAATAATTATTAGTGAAACCCAGTCAAAAATAAGAAAAAACTCAACCACATAATGAAAACCTAAGTACTGTGACAAACATAAGAGAGATACATCTTAATAAGCTTGGCTTTTCAAGACTTGTTTTCTTAAGTATATATATAGAGACGACTCTTGACTATAATATGTTTATGTTTGAAGGTGAAAAAAACAGGCTCAATTTTTAATAAAGTCTTGGTGATAAAATGGCTTCCCTCAGTAAAACTTTACATCTTTTCATTGGAAATTAAATCGCCGGGTAAAATCAAAGTGAGTGAAAATTTAGAATTTTCACTCAGCAACGGGTTCTCTATTGTTTACTTAATTACAAGTAAAGTTTTATACAAGCAAATTATTTTTGTGAAATTCATTCAAATGTTCTTTTTTTTTAGAAGACAATGGTTTATTATTAGCCCATACACAGCCACGCATCATAATGACCGGCGATGCTGGGGATATCTTAAAGGCCTCAAAGCATATGAAATAAAAAAAATAATAGAAGAGGAGATTATAAGAATGTTAAGTGAGCTGGGCTTGATCAAAGCAAGTGTAAAGGAGAGTATAGGTATTGTTAATGACATTAAAAGTGATGAAAGGTACACTATCAAAAATGAAGCCCCAATTCATTCATATGTTAATAAAGTCAGTCACAAGGTATTACATTAAGTCACATGCTATACACTGAAACTAAGGTTTTTGGTTCTATAGCTTCTTGTTGCCCCTAACATTTTGAAAAAAAGTCTTTTTATTTCTTAGGTGTCCTATATATGAAGGGAACTTGATGTACTCATTGTATTATTTTCTACAAGAAAAAAATAATCAAGTGCTTGGCATTTGTTTTTGTTTTTCTAAAAAAGAAATTAAAATCTTAAAAGTGTGCATTATTTTCTCGGATTGTGCGCCTTACAAAAGTGTTTTGCTATATTTATATACTAAGAAAGTATTTTTTTTTTTTTGTAAAAAAAAAAAAATCAGCTCCAGCTCTATAGCTCTATAGCTCTATAGCTCTATAGCTCTATAGCTCTATAGCTCTATAGCTTCAGCTCTAAGCACGCTTCCAAGCCTAAAACCCTCTCAACATCACATTAATTTTTTTTCTTACTTTTATTTATTTGTGCTTTAGATTGAGTATTTCTTCTTCTTCTTCTTCTTCTTCTTCTTCTTCTTAGCTGTGTTTTATACTATTATCATTTATTAATTTTACTTAAATCCAGCTGTCATTCATATAATATTACCATCCAGCCTTATACACACACACACACACACTACATTATATACATACATCTTTCTTTGACTTTAACAATTTTCATGACTGCCCATCGTTATGCTTCTAGAGCTCCGTTTGAGAACATTCCCGCTCAACCTCAACAAGTAGAACACAGCTTACGTACAATGAGTGCTCGAAATTGCTCTGTTGACAGTAATCTCTCAGACCTCAGTGAAAACAGCTCTAATGTAGTGATTAATCAACGCTGGATCCCACTTGGAAAGATTGGAGAAGGATCTTTTGGTGAAGTGTTTGAAGGTAAACCTTTGTTGAATTATTTATTTATTTTTTGGTTCAATCTTCTTTTGTGATTGTTATTATGTAATTCAAGCATGCTCAAACACACACACGCATATATATAATATTTGTAGTTGAGGAAATATCGACCAAAAAGCACTTTGCTATTAAAAGAGAACGAGCAAATATGCGACACCCCCAGTTGGAAAACGAAGCCAAGGTTTACAAACTGCTTGAAGGGGGCCGTAAGTTTCATTTGGTTTGGAGTGATTAAGATTCTATTGAACCTCCAAAACCAAGTCATTTCTTAAACTTATCCGTTTTTTTATTATTATTGTATACTATTAGCCGGAATCCCACGCTGCTACTGGTATGGACGTCACGAAGACTTCAATTGCATAGTTATGGACCTACTAGGCCCTAGTTTAAATCAGCTACGAAAGACTGTCCACAAAATTCCTTTGGATGTTGTGATTGATTTAAGTAGCCAAATGGTAATTATTGTTATTAATTTTTTATTAAATGGATATTGTTCTAAAACTTTATATAAAGGTATCCATTCTAGAACACGTGCATCAAAAAGGTCTTGTCTTTAGGGATATCAAACCTGACAACTTTTTATTCTCGGCTGCCAATGAACTTCCTGAACCAGAAATGTATGAAGTGCGTGACCCGGCTGGCGGACCTCCTCATTATGAATACACCACCTTGACATGCCGTGATGTACTGAAAAAATGGGGAGAACCGTATCCTCGGCTCTATATTGTTGACTTTGGCCTGGCAGTTGACTGGGCTAATCCTGAACCTAAAGTGTCCCATTCAGACAAAAAGCGGGACCAAAGAAACAAGGTTGGTACGGCTCGGTATGCTTCTATCAACGTTCACCGTGGCAAAGTACATTCTCGACGAGACGACCTGGAAGGCATTGGCTACATGGTACTCGAACTTCTCCTTGGATCCTTACCTTGGACTGGTATCCAGGCACGAAGCTCCAAGAATGGCTGGGACAAGATGCGTCAGATGAAGGAAGATACATTTATGAGTGATCTGTGTGCCGGAATGCCGGTTGGAATTCTGGAGTTTGTGGAATACACTCGAAAGCTGCGACCAACCGATGAGCCAGATTATAATTTGTGTCGGCAGATGCTGTTTGGGTGTGTGGGGAATGGCAGATTAGCACATCCGGTTCGATCACCCTTTGGAGGACAGAGTAGTAGGAAGGTTTGGAAAGATGTTGAAGATCATACACAGCAAAGAGGTGGATCAAGAGTTGAGGAGGGGTCAGCAAAACATGCTCAGGATAGAAATACGTCAAGATTTTCGATGTATACGGTGGCAAAAGCATTGCCGAATACTGGAGCAAGTCCGATGTGGAGGCAGGAGAGTAACAAAGGGGGTAAAGGAGTACAAGAGTCTTCGGTTTCGTCAACATCTATACATCGAATGATTTCAAAGATACCCAAGGGCGAAAAGCTGATTGGCTGGAATACACACAAACATGATGAAGTACCTTGGGAGCCCAAAGTTGACTGGAATACGAACAATAATCCTACAATACAGACACTGCCTGAGCCTGTTTGGGATAAAAACCCGACCCAGGAAGCATGGGGAGCACCAGAATCTACCTGGTCTCCTCCAGAGGATGATTCATGGGCCAAGAAGAATGGTGTTCCATGGTAATATTATTATTATTTTCATACGCTTTACAGGTACACAATATACATCCGTGTATAATGTGTAGTGCGTATTTAAGGTATCATAAATGAACACAGCATTGAAAGCTGTCACTTTAGATACACAGCCTAGTATTTCTTTTTACTACTATGATTTTCATTTCATTTATTCATTTGTTCTTTTGTTCATTTGTTCTTTCGTTTGCCTGTTTGCCTGTTTGCCTATTTGCTTATTGTATTTGCTTATTGCTATTGTTATTGTTATTAATATTATCATTAAACCAAAAGAAGAAGAAGAAAAGGGAAGGACAAGTAAATATGAACGCATCTTGAAGTTTGGCAATTTTATCTTTACTCTCAGGGTTTGGTTGACATTTTCCGTATTTGATGCTTCTAATATTGTACTAACAAGATTTCGGTTTTGTGTGAATGCCTAATATTATTATTATTTTGAAAAATATTAAATGAGTGAATAGTATTTGATAGACCGAGTATTTATGGTTTCTTCTTTTTCTTTCTTTCTTTAAAGATATGTGTATATAAATACAAATGATGATTATTGTTCAATCGTCTATAATTCTTAAAAGGTGGCCTTACACAATATGTATTAAAAGCAAACGAGGTTTCAAATACAGTAAAACACATTTGTAAGTCGCATAATTCGAAAAAATAAGTCGCCCTGAATATTTTTTTTGTATTTAATGGTCGCCCTAGTTCTCCTCATTTAACAATATATAGACTTCATTATTAATTTACTTTCCAATAAACAATACAAAAGAAAAGTATTTATTGATCGGCTACAGTGCAAAGCACTAAGCGATTGGCTTACTATGCCTGAATTTTTGTATTACATTATTTATATGAGAGGAAAAAGGTAAAAAAAAAAAGAGAAAAAAAAGACTGCTCCAAGAAGTGTCTTATCACCACAAGTGCCTTGCCTGCTATCACACCAGGAAGGAAGGGCTGTTTGTTCATGACAGGGGCCCAGTGAGCTCGCCAAATGGCATGGTTTGTAGAGGCTACAACCAGATTTTGTGTGTGTTTGGGTATAGAAGTGTCAGAAAAAGTCATCGTGGTCAGGAGAGACGTCAAGAGGGGAATCAAAATTAATTGCTAGACAATATGCCTACCTTTTGTGGGCGAAACGAGAATGGAATTTAGGCAAAGTAGGTATTTATTCAATTTTACCTACATGTATAAATGGCTCAAAGAGACAAACTGCGTATATTAGCCACACCGAGGATTGAATGCTGGACAAAGAGAAGCTCAAATTTTGCTTATTTTATAAAAAGGAAAATTTGAACTTTTTGACGATCCAAATGCTCTTTCTTTACTGGTCATTTGATTTCTATAAATACATTTAAAGTATAAATTTAATAATTTCAAGATTGTCAGGTTCATGGTGAGCATAATGAGCATAATTTATGTATTATTTTTTGGTGCTCATTTCTATAGACCATTATTCGTTTTAAGCCCGAGGATTTTGGAAACAATCTTGGATTTCCTTACAAAGCTTTCACGATAAAACTCCCATTGAATACTGTTGTCAACAATGAATACAAAGAGCTACTAAGAAATAAGATCATTATCACTTTAAATGATCTTCATAATATCATATCCAGGGCAATGATGTTCATAAACAGCTACTGCTTGGTATCTTCTCGTGATTCAATACCTAGCTACATTTACAATCAGACATTTTGGTACTCGGTTTGCCAACTTGTCAATGGCAGAAAAGTAAAAAAAAAAAAAAAGAACGCTAATGCACCATCATATCTTGTACAATTCTGAGATACCTATAGATCCGCGATTACATATACCGTATACAATCAAAGCCTACAAAGCGGAGCCAGCCAATGTCTGTCCGAAGCTTGCACTGAACTTGCAGCCTGTTATATCAATCATATAGTAGAAACCCTTGAGAAACGATTATCGAGTTATTTTTGCTATACGTTGCAAAACTTATTAGTGGTAAGTTATTATATTCTTGTATTTTTTTTTGAAAAAAAAATCGGCAATATTACTATAAAGTTCATACTTTTGTAAGTTGTAGAATGTATCTCCAAAGAATATTGGCTATCAGTTTGTTTGTGGGGGAGACCCAAGTTGTACATCAAATGTACAAGAACTTCAAGAATCATCAGTTACAAACACCCGCCAGTTGTTAAAAAGCCACCTTCCGGACAAAATAACTTTGGCTACTCTATAAGCACACCCTGAAAAGAATATCTCTGTACTTTCGCAAACCCTGTCCGAATATGAACTAGAACATAAAAGCCATAATCCTTTTGATGTACGCCGACTTCCCTTACCAAGACTATTTGCACTATTTCCAAAATCATCTTTGCATTTTCGGTCAATAGCTATTAGTGCAAACGGACTATCCTGCTTTGTGTCCTGACCACTACCAAGAGGATATAATAATCAGCTCTTATTATCCAAAAACGTTATAAACTTTGCTAAGCTGAGGTGCAAGAGGTATATATATCATTGCCAGTTTATCAGGGAATCATAACTCTTATTATTTTTTAGTTCTGACCTTGAGCCAAATGGTAACAATCGGATCTTGTTTGGAAATTTAATAAGATCAAATGTATTTTCCATCGATTGCCTATTCTGCGAGAGAAACCCAGCTTCCATCGAAGTAAGAAACAGCACACTTCAACTTGAATTGTCAGATTTTGAGTTCAATGAAGTACAACACAACTATAAGCTAGTTTTTGTCAACCCTGGACGAAAGGCTGTTTTCACTGTAGCAGAGGGGCTATCTACCAAAGCACATAGTTTACTGTGGTGCACAACTTGTGAATACTACCACATAACAGGATCAACAAGATAACAAGCAGATCAAGTTCGGCATAAAAGGCAAAATGGAATTGAAGCCATTGAAAGCCATATACCATCCCATGAAACAGCCTCCTGTGTAGCATATATTGATGACGTACAATATGCTTTAACTCGTCTGGACGTGTTGTATAATTTTTATGGAAATAGCACTGCTAAATGCCAGTTTTTTTTCTATATTAAGGGCGCCAGAAAGCACCAGAACAAATGGTGAGCATCTTGATAAACGGAGATAGCAAGTATAACAAGAAGAGAAGAAAAAAGAAAAAAGAAGGAAGAAGCCACAGACCCTAAAGCCAACAAGCCAACAAGCCAACAAGCCAACAAGCCAACAAAGTGAGTAGTTAATCTTTTTTCTCTCTTCTTTCTTTGGTTAAAAATTTTAATGTTCTTGACTTTTTTTTTGAAAAGGTTAAATAAGTGGAAACCCCCTTCCGTATAAATAAGAAAAAATAAAGATTCTATTAATTGTTTTCGGGGCTGGAATTTTCGGGAAGGACTTGGTGAGACTAAAGAATAACCGATGTGGAGTGACAGGAATTATGGGGAAGGCTTTGAAGAAACGAGAGAGGAATGGGGGTCTTGTCGCTGTTACAATTGATGAATACAATACAGAGACGTGCAACAATTGCCAAGCGAAGAATTTAGCGCCTGCAAATCACACTCGCAGCTACAGCGTACAGGTCTGTAGAATCTGCAATACACTGTGGCAGCGAGATGTTAATGATGCAAAAAATATGATAACAATTGCTTTTTCAACTTGGAGAGGAACCCATCGACAAACCGCCTTTCAAAGTTCTGATAAAGGCAAGCAAGCAGCAAACAGCAACAGCAGCAGCAACAATAACAACAACAATCCCGTCACTAACATAAGCAGTTTGTCTCTTTGAGCCATTTAGACATATAGGTAAAATTGAACAAATACCTACTTTGCCTAAATTCCATTCTCGTTTCGCCCACAAAAGGTAGGCATATTGTCTAGCAATTAATTTTTATTCGTCTAAAACATTTCCTAATTTGTCTCAATCTCAAGTAGAAACACTGTATTTCGAGACAGTTGGCTGCTTTTTTGAGTTTATATTTCTATAATTGGAACCAATAATCAACTTACTTGGGCTAATTTGTTTCGTATATTGGAGAATACCATTAATGAGATCCAAAAAAAAAAAAAAAAAAATCCCCAGGGGGTATTTCCCTGAGGTTTCCCTAAAGTCTCCCTTGGGTTTCCCTTTAGGTTTCCTGGAGTTTCCAAGCTTTCTTTATTCGTGGGATTTCCGTGCTGGACTTATAATTAAAAACAACACACACAAAAAGAGAAATATAGATATACATTGTAAGCGTGTTAGTAGCTATGAGAGAAGCCAACAAAAAAAAATGCAATTAATATGCAGTATATCTTTCGATTCAAAGGAAGAAAAGCAAGTTATTGTGTTATTTTGATTTGCTCTTTTTATTTATTTTTATGTGCATGTGTGCGTACGGGATAATGATTAGAGCAGTTATACCGTGTATAAATAATTATGTTACATATATATATATATATATTTATTCATTTATCAACAATCTAAGCCGAATTTTCTTTATGAATCAAAAGGTCAAGAGCCAACAATAATTGGTAGATCCAGCATGTATATTACATAATGAAAGTAAATCATGAATTTGAATGGTAGTATATTTATCCTTCACTTTTGTTTAGAACTCCCTTCCTTTCGTTGTCTTTTTTTTTTTGTAGTTCCTATTAAAGCCCTTTAGAATTTGTATATAGCCATGATCTGTCATCACTATTTTTCCAGCTATCCTTTCTGTAACACAATGTATATATATTAGCAAATGGTTAGCGGCGGGATATCTTGAAAAAATGCGGGGGAAAACCTAAAAAAAAATATCCCACCCAATAATATACTTGATCTATTGGTTACACCTGATTCACGATATACAGCTTCTGGCCGTGGGGTCGGCACGTCGTTTTTATATCTATATATATTTACTTGACTTTTTCCTTTATTTTTATTTTTTACAATAATTACATATTTTTAATATCAGCAGTAACACATAGCAGATCGTACAAATCCAGCAAAAAAAACCCCCCAGAATTTATTTCAAAGTTCTACCAACAGAAAGCTTTTTTTTTTCATTTATTTTTATTTATATATATTCACGTATAGTACATTCTTCTAGTCCATTCAATACCTTCTTTCTTCTTTTCTTATATTTTACGTGTCATGAAGGAAAACTCGGCTGGATCGGATACACAGCATTCAAGAACTCACTCTATTTTAAGAGTTGATTCCTTTGCCAGTGCACTCACCCAAGAAAGCCGCCGCCCTCGTCAAGAAAAGTCTGAGGCCGAGAAGCGCTTGGTCCGTAAACTTGACAGACGGCTGATGCTCTGGGCATTTTTTGGGTATTTTGCCAACGGTCTTGACCGAAATAATATGCGTATGTATAGTTTGGTATTATCATTTATATAAGCGTACAATTATACTTACTCAATGTCTCTTTATATACTATCAGCTAATGCCTACACTAATGGTATGGATACCGAGTTGAACCTTGCATCCGACAAGTACAATTGGGCAATTACCATGTTTTTTATTGGTTATATTATGTATGTATCATTATTACTATTAAAAAAAAAACTCAACATCTTTTATTTTATTCTTTAATTTTACAGTCTTCAAATTCCCGCCAATGCAATCATCACCAAGGTCAGACCTAGTATTATGTTACCTGGCGTTGTATTCGTGTGGGGAGCTATTGTGTGCTTCATGGCTCTTGTAAAAAACTATCAGGGTCTTTACGGTCTTCGCATCTGCCTTGGGTTCTCTGAGGCTGCGTTTTACCCCGGAATTGTCTTTTTACTCGGCAGTTGGTACTCTCGCGAAGAACTTGGCACTCGTACTGCTGTATTTGTGGCAGGCTCTCAGGTATCCGGAGCCTTTAGCGGTCTGATATCTGGCGCAATTGCTTCTGGTCTTGATGGCGTTCACGGAATGCGTGGATGGAAATGGCTTTTTATCATCGAAGGCCTTTTGGCTGTTGTCATTGGATTCTGTGGTTTCTTTCTCTTACCAGATTTCCCTCACAACACTCGTTTCATTGTCGGTGAAGAGCGTGATCTTGCTATCGAACGTCTTGAACGCCAAGGAAAGAAGACTCTCAGCACTGGTCTTAATTTGACAACGTAAGTCCTATATCTCTTACTCTTTGTTTTAAAAAAAATTAATTTTTTTAAAAAAAAAATAGTTTCCGTAACTTGCTTACTACTCCTTATGTCTGGCTATTTCTTTTCACTTTTATCTGTTTTCAAGAGGGCATGGGTATTCTGCAGAACTTCCCAATCATTCTTTCCAAGCTCGGCTATAGTTCATCGTTTGCCAACTACATGATGGTTCCTATCTGGGTATGGGTTGCCGTTGTGCTGGTTGTCCAGGGCTGGCTATCTGATCGTTACGGAAAACGTGCTTGGCATATACTTGCCGGCAGTGCATGGACCCTTCTCTGGTACGTCGTCTTGGTCGCAGTTGATGGTGGCAAAAGCCCGATCGTACTTGTGTTTGTCGCGGCCTATATGATTCCTCCAATCTTTGGCGCAAGCCCTATCATGATGACCTGGCTCAACGTATGTATAATTCAATTTTTTATTATTATTATTTTTTAGCTATTTATTTATTTTTTCAACTCAAGTTCTATTACATTTGAATATACATTTGACTTTTAAACAAAGCACACCCCCATACTCATTTGCTTGTATCTATTTATTCTCAATAGGAAATCTACCAGAACGATTCTGAAACCCGTGCCTTGGCCATTGCTATTGTAAACTCGCTTGGAAATCTTGCTCCTAACTTTATCAATATCAAGGCATGGATTGTCACAGATGCACCTGATTTCCGTAAGTAACTTGTATTATTATAAGGTGTATTTTAACTTATGCCATATATTCTAGGTACCGGAAAGATCGTTACCATGTCAATGACAGCGTTAACATTGGTCCTTATTGGCATCACATATTATCTTGAGCAAAACAAGATTCTCTTACCAAAGGTTCATCAGCGTATCACAACCACTGATGAAGAGAAGAAGAAAGATATTCGAGAGGTTGTTTAAACCCAACATTGCTTTCTTTTTCTTTTTTTTTTCTTTATTCTTGTTAATTGTTCGCATTATTATTATCATTACTTAACTCTACTTGTCTGTATATTTTCTCTTTTCTTCTTCTCGTTCTTTATAATTATATTTTATTATTTTGTTAAATAAAAATCGAATTTTCATATTACATCAAATTAAGGATATAAATCCTTCAACTATCTTGGCTTAATTTACCTAGGTTTACTTGGTAAGCACATCTTTGAAATATATATAAATATTTTTCTTTTAAAATATTCAGAATGACTTGTGTATATAAATAAGTAAAGAAGTATCTGTTTCAATATCAAAGGTGAATGTTACTGTTGTTATAATTAAAGCACTATTTATTCAAGTCAAAGTTTCGGTATATTATTACGACTACTACGAGTACGATTTATGGGATTTCAGATTATTTTGCATCTAATCCAATCAAATATTTTAAATATGGTATATCTATTCTTCTTATAAATAGTCCAACAAATGCATGATGTTTTATATTGGAATTTTATGGTTTCTATTGATCAAAATAATAGAAGAAGTACTGATTTATATGATATTTAGTAACAGTCTAAGCTATAGATTAGCTATATAACATGCATATACATATTATCTATTGCTACCTGCTACTTGCTACCTTTTTTATATCTAATATATATATATATAATTCTCTAAATACTATACTATTGATTTTTATTTTATCATAAAGTATAAGCCTGTTTTGTGTTGACATTGCTATGCCTGATTCCTACTTTTGAAAAGCCAAAAGATAGATTCCATGTGATTCTTTAAATACATTATTCCTAATAAGCATACGAGTAACCTTGACAGCCAAACTATACATCATCCAAATACTTCTTTTTCTGTCAATTCTGCTCAAATTACTCTTGATTGTCAATTCCACTGACTCATATTTCATCAATACTAGTTTTGCAACCTTTAGGCAGTCCAACGTACAATATTCCTCTAAAATGACTTTCTGGACTAAAAGCAAAACAATCATATTTGAATATCAGCCTCAGGATACTAAAATGAGTTTAGAGCATCCTGAACTTAGGATATGCCAGACATGTCAAAGTTACAAGTCCTTCGAACCAATTGTATTTATAAGAATTCTCAAGATCTTTGTAGAAGTTGGTAGTCTCGATATAAAATTATTAGCAGCTTGTCGTTAGTGTAATGCGTACCTCTTGTACAATTGATAGTCATGGTATAACTATAATATGCTTTATAATAAGAATCTGGCTTATATAAGACGGTATCGTTATGAAATATGATGTAGCCCGGGTTCAGGGGTGGTTAATTACTGTCTTCATATTTATTTTGTCAAGTCTATTAATCCCTTAAAATACTACACTCCTTGATTACACATCTTGGAGTAGAATCACTATTCAATACTACTGGCCTTTTATATAAATCACTCAATCAATCAATCAATCAATCAATAAACAAAAAGTCTATAAAGGCAACACAATTGACAGGCAAAAATTTTAAACTCTACACACCTTTATCTTTCACTCTTTTAAGTAATCCATAAACTGACCTACAGCACATATACTTACCAAATCTCCTAGTATATCATCCCCACCAATCGACACTTTCAAAAGCACTGTTCAAACCCCATATCTTTAGTCCATTGTGGATGAGAAGACAATGAAACAAGCTATCTTGTTCCGAGCTCTTACTGTCAAGGTATTAATACAAACAGTCAGATGGAGACTAGAGTTCCTTCGACCCCTACAAGACCTGGTTTCTAAATTCCACGCAATTGCTACACACACACCTACATACTTAAAAAGTATATTCTCCTTGCCGAATTGTCACATGACCCATCATTTAACCTAAATGGATAGATCAATCAAGCTTTTTTTTCAGGTTTTCCTTTCGTTAATTGATCGTATCACTGACTCCTCCCGAATAACAAAAAAAAACAAGACTGAACCGTAAGTTCATTTCCCGCCACATCAACACATATATTCATCACAGCTCCTACACCTGAATCTCCCTCCTAAACGCTCACCACATCGCTATGTACGAGGCCACAAAAATCCACGCAGTTTACATAGTTAATATCAAGCTGAAGTTTGACCAGAATTTTTGCCGAGTGATCAATATCTTGCTCGATATAAAAAGAAGACGGCAAAAGCTTATCCAATACCTGCGTAGACAATTAGCAACCGAGGAATGAGTCAAAAGGATGCTAACAGAGCATATCTTTGAACCCGCAAGGACGTTCAAATAAAGAGTTTCAATTCGCCAAGTTGACAGCTCATTCACCGAAAAAAATATATAGATGCATTCACAGCCATTAGACCAATTTTGACCGCCTGTCCAGAAAGATATTGGTTCCGAAAGAACTCTATCTACTATAATTTCAAACCGTCTCCTCACAATCACTTCCTCGCCCTATTTTGCATTGCCCAGCTCCTAGAACAGCTTGGATATAAATCCATCAACTGCTTCTCTCTTCGCCGATCCTGGTCACCATGCTATATGCAAATTGATACTAGGATTCTGTGCCAGCAGATATTGAGAACAACTGGGACAGCAAAATTGGATAAGCTAGAGTTGTGTGGAAGAGTGGTAAACTAGAATATCGGGGTTTTCCGTGATTAAGCTCATAGAAACAATTTAGACTGATGGTGTTGGAGTTTCCTTCCTTACGCAGACCCAAGGCACTACCAAAGGACCCACTTCCAGAAGAGCTTCTATCATTAAGACAGAAAACATTTACTACGTTCATAACTGTAAACGTGAACAGCATGAAAGAATCTGTGGACGTTGTGTTTTTATTAATCCTGGAAGAAGCGATCTTCTATACTGTATACACGAGGATTCTACGGTATAAATACCAAGATATTACCGGTACATCTCCAACCAGCAGACTATTAAACTCAGGCGTACCAAGTCTCGCCACATCGCCATTATCTCAAAGCCCAATGCCCAAATGTCCGTGCTGCAGAGAATCTCCTCTTCCATACCTCGAGCCGATCCAATAACCTTACAAATTCTGCTTACCATACCTGGATTATATCATAAAGCTCCTCAACCCTCACTTCTTTTTACACCGACGCCATAGGTCGTACCAGCTAGAAAACTTTGTTCCGCAAGCTTCGTCTCTTCTCATACATAACCCAATGCAAAGTCGACGAATATTTAGCCAAAACTTTTCGTGCTAAGTTTGGTCAAAATTTTGTCTTGGTCATGGAAAACTGGTCTGTCCCTAACAATAGATACCATAAACCAATCAAAGGTAAAATACTGAGGAATCTACTTTGCAAACATGGTTTTGATGCTTGTTTGATCAATGAGTATGCTACCTCTAGGCACTGTCCGAGGTGCTGCCAACTGTCCCTTCAAACCTTCAAGCAAGTCGAAAATCCTCGCCCATATCGCCGTACCCAAATACCAACTAGAACACGCCATAGTCTCCTAAGGTAAATTCTACAGCCACTCCATTTTTATTATCATTTATTCTGACAAGTCCTTTTAGATGCACCAATCTAAATTGTTTGGAGAACATGGATGGGTCAGAGGTTATGCATCGTTTGTGGAATCGAGATCTTGCTGCTGTTCTGAACTTCCGACATATACTTAACCAAGTGAGTCATGATGATACTATATCCGAGAGGTTTACCCGGGTCATTCAAATTGGACTTAATAGAATACAAGCCGAATAAGATGTTCAGGAGGGTCGTCGTGTGAGACAAAGACTGACAAGACTTCAAAGAAAATAACAGATATTACCTCCTGGTTACCGCCTAGGATACACCCAAGATACCGAATAGTAAGCCATTAGATTTAAATAATTTCATCGTCTTTGATTCTTGTACCGAGTTGAAGAAGTGGAAAAAAAAAGATGTTTTACATTGACTGCAAAGACATGGTGGCGTAAAAGTGAGATATACAGTCAAAGGACAAAAGTTCCTGGCCTTTAAAATCCCGCAGTTATAGCACTGACTTCTATCTATAAGCACATAATAAGATTTATACAAGTCTTCTAGAGCTCTAATTTTTACAGGTTTTCTTGCAAGATATAGTGTTGTTGCTTTGAGGTGTAGACATAATGGTGAAAATCTTTATTGAATTTGAGAGCAAGAGAGAGAAGGTATGCGTACTTATAACAAAATATACAGACGTTATTTTAAATTGCAGGAACTTTTGTCCTTTGATTGTATATTTGGATTCAAAAACCAATCTACTTGGGATAATTTGGCTCGTGTGCTGGAGAGCACCATTAATAGGGGGTTTCATTATCTGTTTTAGATTTTATTTTATTTTTCTGGGATTGAAAAACACTAATTATTGGCTGGTAAAAATCTCTCAAAAAATAAAATCTCAAAACTTGGCTTGATAATTTTAAGATTTTATTTTATTTTTAACTTGGCATTTTTATTCAGATATTACAAATAACAAAAAGCATTATTTTACTCATATTTTCTGTCTATTTTGATAGAAGTAGTACATTATATTATTTAATATGTCTTAAATATGCTTATTCAAAGACTTTTCATAAATTTTAGCTCATCAGTAGCTTTATGTAAACAGTAAATATATCTAGAATAATAAACAAAAAAAGTAATTTTTTAAAAGACTTTATACATTAAATTAGCTAACATGAGGGGGGTTCAGTAATATCTTTTTATATTCATTATTATTGGTTAAAACTTAAAGACCATAAAAATAAAATAAAATCTAAAACAGATAATGAAACCCCCTAATGGCACTATCTATTCGTCCAAAAAAAACAAACTAAAATCGTCTCAATCTCAAGTAGAAACACTTGGTATATACAGACTAGAAGTTCAAAAAAGAATGCTTCTCTTCTCAATCATAGTGGCAATGGAAAAAGACTAGCTAGTTATAGTCGATTAAAAATTTTGCCCTTTATTTGAACTTTCAGTCTGTCCACACCAACTGTATATTGGTTATTGCATGGAATACTGAGAGGATAAAGAAGAAACCAAATAGTCTGGGTATCAATCGGAACTGTAGATAACACATGGCAATAAATCCTAGAAATTTGACCTGACATTTTACTTGCTATTCTGAAAAAAAAAGCACCAAAGAATTGAAATAAACTGAAACTGAAATTTTCAAAGTTTATCCGAAAATAAAATAAAATATAAATATAAATATAACATAAAGAGAGCCAAAGACCTTGCTTTTTTATTTATTTATTTATTTCTTATTTTTACAACACCGGAAAATCGGAAGCTAAGATAAAGTTTGAAGGAAATCTATTTACTCCGCAACAATCCACTTGTTGTTTTCATCATCACCTTCAGGATAGACAGTGATCTCGTTGCGGTTATCCTCAATAGTGAAGTCATGACTGTGCCTATGATACAAAAAGCAAAATGAAGCAGAAAGTCAGTATATGTACCACAAAAACAAAAAGCAGAAAGACTTACAAGACGAATCCGGTTTGCTCATGTTTGAGAGTGAAGGCCTGGTCAACGCGCCAGAACTATTTAAATTTATTAGAATAATAATAATAATAATAATAATAAAAATTAATACTCACATTATCATACTCGTCGCTATCCTCGTAAAATTTGATGACTCTCCAGACATCGTTTTCATCGGTCTCATTATCACTTCCGAAGCAAGAAACCTCCTGCTGCTGAGAGACAGGGCTGGGAATCTCATGGCTGTGGAGATTGGCTCTGGTAGGGACGTGCTTGAGACGGACAAGGTCATCCCAGCCGACTTCATAACCGCGCTCCTCCTCAGTCTCGACAGGAGGAATTACAATCCAAGTTGACTCTTCACTAGACTCCCATTCACCAGCAAAAGTCTTTTTTTTTGTTGTTGTTTTGTTAAAAAACAGAAGAAATAACTTTGGGTGAGTTATTTTTATTCTTGCCCAAAATCTCATGATTGTTATTACCTTTTGCTGATAGCTTCCACTCTCGTAGTTCTCGGGAACTGAGGTCAAGAAACGTCCGGTCATGACATGCTTCAATGAAACATGGTCACTGTATTAAATATGGTCGATTAGTTTAAAATACTCCCACGCTGTGTATATATATATGACTTTACCCGTAGCGAATGATACCATCTTCTTGAGGTCTGCCTGTTTGATACCAAGAGGTGGTTGATATTTTAGTTGGGTACAATCAAATAGAGTCACGATCTACACTTACTCATTATTTGTGTTTTAAAAAAGAAAAAGAAAAATGAAAGGTTCTTGTAAATTCAATCAAGGCTCAACACAGCTTAATTTATATATGCTTCGACGTCACACAGCAGAAGAAAGAACAACGTCAAAGGGCACGTTACCAAAATAAAATAATAGTGTGCATTTGCTTAAAAATCCATACCAAAGAAAAACCCCCTTCCTCTATTCTCGAGGTAGATTTCCAAAAATAAAAATGTTTAAATTTTTGTTCTTTGATGTCCATGCCCCGACTCTTCCTGCTTCATTTTATTCCTCTTACCTATCTCCTTGCTTTCCCTACTTTCCTTTTTTTTTTTAAAAAAAAAAAAAATTTGTTGCCAAGATACCGTTATTTTTGTTTTTTATTTTATTTTTCGCTTGGTTACCTATACTGTATACTATACCAGCTGCTAACTAACTCGACATTTTCTCCTGCCAAAAGTAACAGTTACCTTTTAAGTTGTTTAAACTGTTTTATCGCCTTTGAAATTAAAAAAATAGCTAAAATTTTGTTCTTTCTTTTTCGACTGATATCATCTATATATTTATATATGTATCGAATCCAAAACAAAATACCCTATTAATTTTCTTACTCGAAAAAAGAAAAGAAAAAAAGAAACTCAAGTAACAAAGATATTAATGCAGTCACAAATAAAATTGAAAATGGAAGTTGGATCAGACAAAAAAAAATAAAAAAAGGGGGTTGGGTTGATCATATAGCACTCGAGCTATACAAATACTTGTTTTACATAGAAGTATATTCACAAGACACCATGTGGTTTTATATTCATATCCACCTTTTCTTGTTTCTCTATCATTAATAAAAGCTCAAATATATCCATGCCTATTGTTTTTATTTATTCAGCAATGACACGAAAAAAAAATGTCCGTTGCTGCTGGATAGAGAATAATAAAATGGATGGTTTACAATTTGTATGTATGTGGATGTGGAGGATAACTTTTAATCAAAGAGACCGAAACCCATGTCATCGTCAGATTCTTCCTTTTCCTCAACGGCAGCCTCGACCTTGGCATCTTCAGTGGAGGCACCAGCAGCAGCACCAGCGGGAGCAGCAACACCACCAGTAGGGACGGAAGAGATCTTCTCCTTGCCCTCGGCAATAAGCTATATATAATTATTTTATAAATTTTATTGATTAATTATTATTATTATTATTTTGTAAAGTGTATATATATATATTAATTGTTTTCTTTGTTTTTCTTACCTCTTCGACGGACTTGCCCTCAAGAGCCTTGATCAAGGAAGCAACACGCTCCTCTTCGACAGAGACGCCGACGGAACCCAAAAGGGTGGTAATATCCTTGGCGGTGGGATTAGCCTTGCCACCGGTGGTAAGAAGAAGGTAGGCAGCGAGATACTTCATGGCAATGACACGAACTACAAAAAAGAAGAGGCCGAGACAAGGTTCAGCAAGTTTGAAAAAATATTTTATTTGGTTCAATTTTTTTTTCAGTTGCCGAACATTTTATTGGTAGATAAAAGCTAATGACTATGTTCCGCAGTCCTTGCTATTTTATTGCGTCACAATAACGTGGCTTACAGAAAATAATGAGAACGTGAATGTTTGAATACTGAACTTTTTGTGTGTGTGGTGTTATATATATATAAGAATTAAACGGAATTTTGCGCATACACATATATTTTATACAGAGTTATCAAATCTTGTATTCAAGAACATTGTCTAGTAGATAATAATCTCGGTCAATCTTTATATATTCACTCTTATTCGTAGCATATTTAAATACATAAACTCATTATATATATGTATGTACATAAAATACCGTTGTCTTTATAAAATGAATAAAAAAGAATAGAGTGAAAATAATGTAAAAACTCTTTAAATGTGTAAAAATAATAATAATGTAAAAATGTGCCATTTGTCTTTCGTTTCAGAATTGAGCAAATAATTTATAGAGACAAGGTATGCAAAATGAGTTGGTAAATAAATAAATAAATAAAAGCAAGGTTGAATACATAAAACTAATAGTTACATATAATAAGATCTTTAAACGCTGCAAGCCAAAAAGTTGTTTTTGTTACTCTTATATTATTTAAGCCAATTTTTTCTTTAAAAATAAATAAATATTGAATGTCGAGAAGCTTTTGTTCTTATGCTAGATATGCGAACCTCTTCCTGCCAGCTTACTTGCCCAGGAGGATTTGTCCTAAAAGGAAGTTTTAATATTCGATTATCAAAAGGATCAATTTATATGTCAAACTAGGTCTATTACTGAATTTCATGATAGATCATTCTCTTCATTTCCCCCCTACAAACTCTTGCTCTTAACAGCATTTGTGTAGATAGCTTCTTAAGCAGAATGTCTGAAAATCAATTCTGATTCGCCCATAAAATAAAAAAAAAATAACAGATTCTGAGTTTAAACTAAAATTAAAAGTATATAGTTGGAATGTGACTGTTTCATGCTCTGTCATGCAACAGTCTTTCTTTTAAAGAAAAAAAAAAAAAAAAAGACTTTCTTCGTTTACAGAATCAGATCCATCTGAAATGAGCAATAACGATAGTTTATCAACCCAAGGCTTAGATCAGTCTATGTGTAAATATTATTTCATTACTCACTTCAACGTAGACTATAGCTCACACATATTTTTATAGCCTCAATGAAAATTAATGATAAGCCTACTGCTTCTCGTTACGTCCCTCCTCATTTACGTGGACGAGCTGCTGCTGCTGCTCCAGAAGCATCTCCAGCATCTCGCACTGACAATGGCTGGAACACAAAACCTACCAATGACATACCGAGATCTAACAAGTAATATCATTTTTTAAAAAAAAAATCCCACAACACAATATTGAATAATTATTAAATACTATTGTTATTCTAGTCGTTGGAAGGAAGGTAGCTCTGACTCGGGTGTGTCAAGAGGGCGTGGATATGGTTCTAATAATCAATTCGATGAACGCGGCTCCTACGGTGGAGGATACCAACGTGGAGGAGGAGGGTATGGTGGAAGAAAAGAAGAGGGCAGAGGCCAATGGAAGAATGGCGCCCATCAGCTTTCTGCTCGTAGTGCTCATGTTGAACTCGATTTGTTTGGTACTCATGATGATACCGAATCTACTCACACGGGAATCAACTTTGATAAGTATGAAAATATTCCTGTCGAAGTATCTGGAAATGATGTACCCCAGCCATTGGAGAAGGTATGTGTATATATGAATTTAAAATTTTCTAACTATATAAATTCTAAAACGTAATCGATAGTTCACTAGCCCTCCCATTGACCCTAACCTTTTGGAGAACATTCTTCTTGCCCGTTATACCGTCCCTACACCTGTTCAAAAGTACTCTATCCCAATTGTAGGTGCTGGCCGTGATCTTATGGCTTGTGCTCAAACCGGTAATTAATTAATAAATCAATCATTCTTGCTATTGCTATTGCTATTGCCGATTGTATAATATATATATATATATATATGTGTGTGTGTGTGTGTACTAATATTATTTTCTGCTGTCAATAGGCTCTGGAAAGACTGCCGGATTTCTTTTCCCTGTATTGTCTGCCATGTTTAAAGAAGGACCTACTACAAAACCAGACACAAACGCCCCACCTGGTGTTTACCGCTCTCGCAAAGCTTACCCTGAGGTCTTGATTTTGGCCCCTACACGCGAATTAACCTCACAGATATACGACGAGGCTAAAAAGTTCTCTTACCGTTCTTTTGTACACCCTTGCGTTGTCTACGGCGGTGCTGACATTGGACAGCAATTACGCCAGATTGATCGCGGATGTGAGTTGCTTGTTGCCACACCTGGCCGACTTGTCGATCTCCTCGAGCGTGCACGAGTGTCGCTTGCCAACGTGCGCTACCTTGTCTTGGACGAGGCCGACAGAATGCTGGACATGGGATTTGAGCCCCAGATCCGCCGTATTGTTGAAGGCGAAGACATGCCGGGAGTTGAGCACCGCCAAACTCTAATGTTTTCAGCCACTTTCCCTCGCGATATCCAGATGCTTGCTCGAGACTTCTTGAAGGATTACGTTTTCCTGTCTGTCGGTCGTGTGGGCGCTACTTCGGAGAACATCACCCAAAAAATTGAGTATGTTGAAGACGAAGACAAACATTCGGTACTGTTGGATATTCTTGAAGGTGAGGCCACCAAGGGTCTGACCCTCGTCTTTGTTGAGACAAAGCGTATGGCCGATGCGCTCTCGGATTACTTACTCCAGAACAAATTCCCCGCAACTTCGATCCACGGCGACCGATCTCAGCGTGAGCGTGAGGCTGCACTAGATGATTTCCGAAGTGGACGTACACCTGTTATGGTAGCCACTGCAGTCGCGGCCCGTGGTCTTGACATTCCCAATGTCACGCATGTCATTTCATACGATCTTCCTACTGACATTGACGATTACGTTCATCGCATTGGTCGTACTGGTCGTGCAGGAAACACCGGTGTCGCCACCGCGTTCTTCAACCGTGGCAACAAAGGCATTGCCCGTAATCTTCTTGAACTGCTTACGGAAGCAAACCAGGAAGTACCTGAGTGGCTCGAAGGAATTGCCCGTCAGGCAAGCTTCGGCGGACGTGGCGGACGTGGCGGACGTGGAGGACGTAGCGGACAATCAAGAGATTACAGACGCGATGATTCTCAAGGATCTCGAGGAGGAAGCGGTATTGGTGGTGGAAGCTATGGTGGAGATTACCAGAATGGGTATTTATTTATTTAAATATTAGGTTAAAAAAGAAAGGAACTAACACATGTATATTGTATTGGTACAGAAATGATAGCTATGGAGGAGGAGGAGGAGGAAATAGTTACCAGAACAGAGCAAGCAAAACAAGCTGGTTCTAAACATGATCTCCATTTAATTATAGCAAAAAACGAAAAGAAAAAGAAAAGACGAAAAAAAAGGGAGCGGGAAGTGGGAGAGGGAAATACTATTGACTTGTTCCCTTGTGCATATACATGTACACAGACACACAAAGCACAAGGCACAAGGCACAAGGCACAAATTACAAATTACAAATTTCACACACACACACATATATATATATATGTATGTATTGATCAGTACATGTTAACCTTGCTTTCCCTTTTTCTTCTTCTTTTTTTTTTAATTATGAAATAAGTATTTGGGTAAAGAAGCCATGTTTGTATCTTTGTAATATATATTTGCATATCATTATCATTATTTTATCATTATTATTTTATATATAAAAACACTTGCAAGTCTTATACTATTATTATTTTTTGACACATTCTTTACGCCTAAAAAATAATTACTAATTTAATTTAACTGTATGGATAAGACAGAGTGTTCTTTACTAAACAGTTTAGGGCTTGAATAGCAAGGTTAGATGTAGTGTTTTATGGTGTGTGAGCCGATATGCTTAAGCAAATATTGAAAGTATAATATCTAATAACTTGATATCCCTTTTATAAATACAAGAACTTGATGCTAATTTTTTGTTGTTGTATTAATATTATACTTCTCTATTATTTTAATTGAACTGGTTTTCTGTTTAACACGGACAATAAAAAAAATACAGGTCTGTAAAATCTGCAATACACTGTGGCAGCAAGATGTTAATGATGCAAAAAATATGATAACAATTGCTTTTTCAACTTGGAGAGGAACCCATCGACAAACCGCCTTTCAAAGTTCTGATAAAGGCAAGCAAGCAGCAACAGCAGCAGCAACAGTAACAACAACAATCCCGTCACTAACATAAGCAGTTTGTCTCTTTGAGCCATTTAGACATATAGGTAAAATTGAACAAATACCTACTTTACCTAAATTCCATTCTCGTTTCGCTCACAAAAGGTAGGCATATTGTCTAGCAATTAATTTTGATTCGTCTAAAACCTTTCCTAATTTGTCTCAACCTCAAGTAGAAACACTGTAATCGGCAAATAAAACATTAATGCGCTGGAGTTTTCTTTTTTCTTTGTTATTTAATTTTAATATTTTTTTTGGAAACGAACAAAATTAAAAAGCATAGATATAATAATTACATACATTAGAAAAAGCAAAACGGGTAAAGAAGTGCTATGGAGCAAACGAAACGACCTTCGGAAACCCCTATGAAGAGACATCTTACACGACCAACAGAAAACACTAAATCAATTCCGCGCGGACGTTCATCAAAACCCGTCGTCCAACAAACAGTTAATCCCAATCCTACTAAACTTGCTGATCCCCCAGCACGAACAGGACAGTTAGTCGAAGAAACCTCTCGAATCACCCGCAAAGATTTCTGCAAGTTCAAAATTTTCTTGGATAGTGTTGATGATGCTACGCGCAAGAATGTGGAACGCAAACTCAAACTATTGGGTGTGGTAAGAAATCATATACAACACCATTTTCTTTTAGTTTTTCTAAAACTTATCTTAATTCACATTTTACAAAACAACATTAGACCCTTGAGCCATTCTTTTCTAAGAATTGTACCCATTTCATTACCACAAAACCTTTCACACCACCAAAACAAACCAAGCAGATCAATGCAGAAATTTCAACCAAATCGGCTCCACTTACAGAGATTAGCAATCGAGAGAATAATTCTGATTTCAAGATAATCATGAATAGGTAATAAATATATATCTAAGTTTACTCATCTAATTATCATTCTGTTTATATATATATATATATATATATATATATTTATCTGCATAATGTACATAGAAAACAGCTAAATCCATTCGGTACTGGTATTCCGACCAGAGTAAGCACCACAATAAGCACTGAGCAAGACATCATGTTCTCATCTCATATTGTTTCTTCTTTATTTCTTCATGCGTGTGTGTGTACTTGGGTATCACAGATTCCTGCTCCTGCTGCACCACCTCAGGAAGAACTTGTCGATAAGGCCTTTCGCCTTAATCTTCAAGTGTGGGGACTTCATGGTATTTACCTTGATTTTATTTTATTTTTGATACAAACTCTCTATCTATACTGACACACGCCTTTTTACTTTTAATTTTTATACATATATACGTATATATTTATACGTATCTAATTGTTAATCGTTGAATATTAAAGATATGCTACGTTGTATTCAGACAATCTTGGATGGATCGAATCGAAGTCAGCGAAAAGAAGATGTAGCTCCACGTGGCTTGGCAAATGTGCTCAAGGAAGAAAAGACTCATGGAGTCCGAACAGGAATAGCTGGCGATGCAAATTCATCACGCCCTCACTTTGTGCCATTCAAAGGCTACTATGCACTCGTCGAAGATGTCACGGGTGTTTGTAGGCCAACGGTCATCAAAGAGTACACAAAATCTCTTTCCCAAAGCGCCGTAGAAAGACGTCCCTGGCCATTCCTCAAAGACACGCCTTATGGAAAATCGCCGTTTGCACAAGCAATCATCCCTGATGACTCTCAGCTCAAAACCGGTGCTTCTGGTAGTCAAGAGCAGCAATTCGGAAGACCGACACAAACTGCAAACAGACTTCCTCTTGGAACCCACGGAATTGTTCCGCTACAGCCCAAACGTCAGACAACTAGGCAAATTCCATCTGACTCGCTTTTTCGGGTATCTGGCTTTCATCCAAGTGTGGTCCAGTCCACTACTTCGCGAACTGCTCTTGCATCTGGATCTACTATGGTCCCAGCCGAAGGACGACATCTTGCTCCTGGTGACAATGTCGGCCGGCTGACTCGTCGTACTGTCGAAGTCAAAAACACACGAGAACCTAAAAATGAAGCAATTGCAAATGTGGTCAATTCGGCTGTCCTCAATTTTCAACAAATGCAACTCAATAATAATAATACCCAGGACAATCAAGTAAAACCTGCAGCAGAAAAAACAAATGGGCAAACGGATCGACGTGGTGGGAATGCGGTAGAAGAAGTGTGGTACTGCGAGAATTGTAACAGGAAGTTTTCATCGTATGAAAAGGTAAATCTACATATATATATATACTAACAATAAATTATAATAAATTCTTTTATGACTAATCCTTTTTTTTTAATAGCATATTAAGGAAGACGCTCATCAAGCCTTTATTCGTGACAGCAACAATTTTTCTGTACTTGACGATCTGCTTTCCAAGACTCGCCGGTCCTACAAAGAACCTTTACCCCTGCATATGAAGCCAAAGGTTGATCCTAATATTGACGGTAAAAACGTTCGATTTCAACATTCCAACAAGCGATCATATGCACTTGCGGTGGCTACTAATGACGACGACCAATATCCCAATAAGTTCCAAAGGCACAAAATCGAAGATAATGAGGATACATCTGAGATGACCAGCACCATTGTCGATGACAGCTGGGAGAAGTATTACTCGGTGTTCTTGTAAATAGACTTTAAAAACAAAACAAAACAAAAAACTTCACATACATCGACATTATTACTACACTATTACTACATATTTATACACACTACATGCATTTAACATACATCATCACAATCTCGTTTTTTTATTTATTTTGTTTTTTAACCTTTATATATATATATATAAATCAACTCTAATAGGAAGCTTTTTCGAGGCTTTGATAGTGGATTTTAGGATTGAATGTTAATTAAGTACTTCTTTATATATATATATATATATGTTTCGATTTCAATTGTAAGTATTTGGTTAATTAATATAGGTGGAGATGCAAAGTTTTACAGAATAAAGGTTAATAATTTATTTATTTTTTAAAAAAGAAAATTCAAGGATGTGATATCAAAACACCATCTGTTTTTGGACTGTTCATCGGAACTGCATTTATACCATTCTATTGATCTTTGAAAGCCTTGATGTTTAAGTCCACCAATACTCCCTAAAAATCTAACGTGTTCATAGATCATCTCCACAATTTCTTCGAGAAATACTGTTCAATAGAAGAACCGGTGTATATAAGAAAGTACATTGGTATATGAATAAAATATTAATCTACTGGAGAGGAATGATACATAAATATCATTAAATCCCAAGTGTGAAAAGAAGAAAGTAGGCAAAAATACATTTCTAAACACGTTTTTTTTTCTTTATTACGCATCATCAGATGGGGATGATGCATCAATTGAATTTGTTGTTTGGGATAGAATAACCTGTGTATTCTGCACAATCTCAAGAGCTTGAGCGGCTTGCGATTGTAGATTCGGCAATTCTTTAATCTGTTGCAAATAAGCACATACCAGCTCATGAGTCTCTTGTGGTACGGGCATTGATTCTGGCAGTAACTTTAACAGCTCTTTGGGGAATTCATTGTAAAGGTTCTGTTCTATAATAATAGTTTTTTTCAATTCAATTTAATAATAAGAACATATACAAAAACTTACTATGACCAGTAGTAGGTAATTCAATATCTTCTGACTGGACAAAGTCATCGATTGAGAGCACAGCTGCATTCTTATATGAGGTTTGAATGTCGTCGATTATTGCATTATATCCAAATTGTTGATTCTTGTTATTTATTGAAGATGTTACAGTCGTCATAATGAACAAATGAATACAATCTACACTCTAACGACGTAGATAGAACAACAGGGACGTTTTTTTTTTAATTTTGTTTCAGAATTAAAAAAGGAAAATTTTCGCCTAAGAAGAAATACAGGATTTTCGGACCCAAATGAGCTTTTTTTTGCAAACTTTCGCTTTTCGGTGAAAATTAAATGGGTGCAAAAAAAAACCTCATTTGGGTCCGAAAATCCTGTATTTCAGCTACTCTGAAATTATAAAAATTGAATAGAGTAGGCATATTGGCTATTATATATTGGGTATGCCGTAGAAATTGCTCTCCTGGTGCTGTTTTCACTGATGGGATGTTTGTTTCATCTTCCTTGATCCCTTGGACCACCTTCCTTGCATCTTCATTTCTCATTCGCTTAACGCTATCAGATGCATTGTAGTATTCTTTTGTTGTTAAACGTCTTATATCATCATCAGCATGATATGAGTTGAAAGCATCTCTTCTTCTAGGATCCACCGTACACACTCGAAAATTCCCCGCAATTTCCTGGGTATTAAAGTTATTTGTTGTGAGCTCAACAGAATTGAGAGGATCAGTTGCGGTCCGTCTTGCAAACAATACCCTGCACGTATAGCCGTCTATGTATATTGAGTTCAAGAAGATCTTGCCTTTTTCTTTTGGGAGATTTATAAAAGCTTCAATATCATTGATTTTGAACTTCTTAAAATTGAAGAAGTGGGCAAATAATCGTCTTGTGTAGGCTACAGGTGATTCGTCTCGCATTTTCTGTGGACCTTGCTCGAAAAACTATTTAACATTCTCACCGTCTATTTTAATAAATCTCCACTTAAAACTAGACGAGGGAAACAATACAAACAGTCTTGGGAGTATATGTTGTTGCTGTTATTGCTGTTGTGGGGATTGTGGTTGCTCAGGCTGCTGTACATAAATACTCAAAACTTATCTCAAGACAGGAATAATTTCTTGAGAATTTCTTGAAAGAGTAGCCTTGTTGACTGGAATTGTAGGCAGTCTATTGCGGATTGGTGTGATTCTTTCATTTAGAAATGTAGAAAGTCGAGGGAGTATGATAGTCGTGTTTTCTGGCAATATTTGATCTGGGATTTGAAGGAGAGCTGGCAGTATAATCAGTAAATTGTCCAATAAATGTTCATATACGATGTTCTTTAGAGCATCCGTAGCAGTAGCATTTAAATTCAGTTTTTCCCGATTTAAATGCTTTTTGGAAATGCTTTCCAAAAAAGTGGTCTGCAGCAGTAGCATTTCCGACAGCATCTAATTCCATGCTCCGTAATTTTTATGACCTTGAGCAATGAAATAGATGCTCGTTTTAAAAATTTGCTGAGCATTTAAATTGTTTTTCTTATTTATTTTTTCTTTGAACCGAATAATAGTATATAGCAACACTTACAAAAACTCACAAAAATTATGCTCACTACAAAGCTGATATTCTTGAAGACATTTAACTTGTGTTTTTTATATTAGAAATAAAAGAAAAATATCTAATAATAATGAATTTTACTAGTGAAGAAGACTATACCATATAGTATAATTATCTAAGTGCTCTTTTTATTATGTAACTGATATTTTACCCTCCATTTTTTTACTTCTTTTAACCTTAGATGTGGCTTATGAGCACTCAATTTAATGCTAATTGAAATGCCACTGCTACGGATGCTCTTAGATAATTATACTATATGGTATAGTCTTCTTCACTAGTAAAATTCATTATTATTAGATATTTTTCTTTTATTTCTAATATAAAAAACACAAGTTAAATGTCTTCAAGAATATCAGCTTTGTAGTGAGCATAATTTTTGTGAGTTTTTGTAAGTGTTGCTATATACTATTATTCGGTTCAAAGAAAAAATAAATAAGAAAAACAATTTAAATGCTCAGCAAGTTTTTAAAACGAGCATCTATTTCATTGCTCAAGGTCATAAAAATTACGGAGCATGGAATTAGATGCTGTCGGAAATGCTACTGCTACGGATGCTCTTATACAGTCAAAGCTCGATATAGTGATATGGATGGTGGACAGAAATTTTATCACTATCACTATATCGAGCGTGTTTTTTTCTTACTCCGCGCATTATTTAGTGATATTTCTAATGCTGCTTTGAGTGACTACCACTGTAGAAAAAAATCTACGAGTATTTGAAACAAGCTGCCTTATTTTGGAAAGAAATGGCAGATTTTTGAACACCATCTAGCACTTACCAAGTTTAGAATATCTCTATCCTATTTTGGCTCTAGAGAAATATTTTGAAGATGAAAGTCTAGTCGTCAACCCAGGAAACCATCTTGATTTCCGAATAAAGAGAACTACTTGCTTGATTAAAGAAAAATCAACTAGAGGGTCAAACAAACCCTATGAATTCTGTACCTTGGATCTGAGCTTATACCAGAAACAGTCATACCTACTAATATTTCTTTTTAATGCGAACTTGTGTTTTTATTCCGTAAAGTCTTTTTCTTTCTATTTCTTCTCACTGTTACTATTGTTGACAAGTCTTTGAGGCTTTACGAAGTACTAACCGATTTATAGTTTATAGCTTTTGGACGATAACAATACTAAGCAAGAGATCTATAACAAGACCCTATAACACAAAACCTTTTATCAAAGCCTTACAAGATAAGCACACATACACATATTTTATAGATAGAATGATATATAGCTATAGCTCTTGTAATGTTAAGCGAAACTCCCTTTTTTATTTCTGGCTAAAGCGATATCTAGTAGCTTATAAAGACCCTGATCTTACAATTTTAATTAGACTTTTACTATATTTTATTTAATTTAAAATTATTATAGTCTTCTTCTTTACATACTTATTTTATCATTCGTCTACTATTTTTTAGTACCCTTTGTTAGAGGCAATGCTATAGATATGAGAAGGTTAAAGAAGAGCCTTATTTTATTACTTTTACTATTAATAAAGTCAAAAAATAAAAATATTTTGCTATAAAACATTAAGTTTGTTGGACCAATTATAAGAAAATTTAAAGTACCTAAAAAGGTATAGATCTACCATATTTGGAGCAATTGATTGGATTAGATGCAAAAACAATCTGAAATCCCACAAATCGCATTTGCTGGAGAATCTACGAGCGCGTATATTCGATACGAGCGCGTAGAAAAGCTACGAGCCCGGAGTTATAAGCTCTTCATATTTGAGTAGTTCTATTGGCTGAAAAATCTTCCCCGACATATCTACGAGCGCGTATATTCGATACGAGCGCGTATAAAAGCTACGAGTACGGAGTTATAAATGCTGCCATTTACCACAGTGTATCTCACATTTTCATTGTATATGGAAGCCATGGCTCTTCCCGCTAAAGTACCGGACCCACCTATTGGGTCCACCACAACACTAGGTCAAGCCAATATAACCACTCCACAACCCTCTACTACTACCTCTACCACAACCAACACTAGGTCATATCTCGATGTCGCCACAGCCACTCCCGCCCCCGGTCAAGTACCAGTCGTTCTTTTCTCTAACTTGCCGACATCTACGGATCGCGTCTGGCGCGAAAGTACATCTCGTCATTCGGTATTCTTCACCCCACCAACTGATTCCACCCTTACCTCTGAATTCTGGACTGCTCTCAGAGCAAGCGTTCCTACGGCATGCACCTTGGGAATATCATTCGCTCATCGTCAACCGCTCATCCACGAATTGCACCTGACCAATTCTACCATCTGCACCGAACTCTGTTCCAAAAGCTTCCTGGTTGGAGGCCAAACGTACTTCCCCTCTATGGGTATTGCCCCAGGCACAAAAATCTTGCGTATCTCCCTCTCCCAGCTTCCATACCTTCCTTCCCCTCTGCTTGAAGAGGCTATCAAAACAGCCTTGGCCGCATATGGCACCGTCCGCGAAGTCGGTTTGCATCTTCGTGCCAATTTTTTTGATGGCACTGGTTTTGCTTACCTTGAACGACCACCCAACCCCGATGCCACCCTTGCCAAACTCTCATACAAGATCCCGTATGATGGCGACTTGTACTTCTTAGGTACCTGGAAACAGATGGGTATTCACTGTAATTATTGTAAAGTTATGGGCCATGCTATCGAAAACTGTCCAGACCGCCCCAAAGATTCCCGACGCTGCTTCACTTGTGACCAGACTGGTCACTTGCAACATGCCTGCCCCAGAGCACCCCCCACGGACACCAGCTCTTCCAAGAGACCCCGCAAGGTTCCCACGACACATGACTCCCCTGATCGCTCACGCAAGACTACTCCCGGTGCGTCTCACAGACCTCCGGCCAAGAAATCGATCCCCCCTCGCGGTACACCTACGATGGCTGAGGGATCCCAGGCTACTACCACCACCTCCCGCACGAATTCCTCGACACCGCGACGACCCTCTGTCCCCGCTGTTCCTACTTCCCCCCGCCAGTCTGCCAACAGGTTTGCTGCACTTGACGGACTAACTGACAACAGCCGCACAGGCGCACTCTTCGACCCCACTCTGCCTCTTCCTCAGACACACAACACCCAGTATGATCCCGTCTTTCACCCCCTCCACAACGCTTTTCTTCCCTCCAACTACACTTCCGGCTCCACTAAAGACGAAGAAGAATTTCACCCCAGCGCTTTTGACGGCGACGACGACCAAGACTCCCAGAATATCCTAACTGATGACGAGATGGCAGACGGCGATCATTCTTAAATTTATGATTAATATAGCCTCCATGAACTGCCGCGGACTTGTCAAGTCCGGAAACACCAATAATCGCTCCCTCTCTCTAGACATACTTGCCCTTCAAGAAACTCACGCCAACACAGACGCTCTTCAACAGACGTTTCATCTTCAATTTCAAGCATCCGACTCACTATGGTCTCCTCACTGTGGTTTGGTTTCCCTCTCTCCCCTCATTTCTTTTACTGATCCTCTTTTTTCTCTCTGTGGTCGTTGCATTACTGCCACCGTTGTTCACTCTTCCAATTTGTTTGCCCCATTTCGTATTTGCGTTTTATATGTCCCTGCTTCATATCGTCCTCGATATGATTTTCTCACCTCTCTCCTATCCTCCCCACATCTTCTCCCTTCCCTTCCTTCTCGCTTTCTTATGCTAGGAGATTTTAATTATTCCTCATATGCAAATGCCTCTCGTGCTGGCCTCGCGCCACGTCTATGGCTGCATTTTGTCGCTAACCACTTTGTAGACTGTGTCACTTTGTCTGACGCTCAACCTATGCCTACCTTTCATCGCGACCTTTCCTCTTCGACTATCGACTACATATATGCCTCCAAGGATATAGCGTCTTGTCACTCTTCGTCCACCGTCACATTTGTTCAGCCCCTGTGGACCGATCATTGCCTTGTACGTACCTGTCTTAGTTTTCCTATGCTGTCTCACATTGGTCGAGGTTTGTGGCGTGCGAACCCTCGTTTGGCGAACATCCCTTCCTTCCGCTCCTCCCTGTCCGACTGTCTTTCATCCTTCATACCACTACTCTCGCCTTCAATTTCCCCCCAATCACAGTGGGATCTGATCAAAGTCGAAGTGGCTCGTTTCACACGTTCATATTCACGCACAACCCGCCCATCACTTGCCACTTTGGAGGTAAAGCTTCAGAGTAAACGTGACCATTTGATACATAGATTTCGACATCAGCCTGCTCAGAACTTCCAGCTGCCCATCGTCGAGCGTCAACTTCAGCAAGTTCAACAGGAATGCACCGAGATACTAGCACTCCGCGCCGGAAAACACTGGAGAGAACAAGGCGAAACTTCCGCTGGGTTTTTGAAACGCACAGTTGCTTTTCGCCAAGCTCGAACCACAATAACCAGCCTCCGCCACCCCTTCACCGACACCTTATGCACTGATCCCGATGATCTTACGGAAGCTGCTGCTGCATTTTATGAAGATCTTTACACACCCGACCCTCCTGCTCAGACAGCTATCGACGACCTCCTCCTTCACTTGCCACCAGACCTCTTTCTTTCCGAAACTACCTCCACGACCCTCCTTAAACCCTTCACCTTGGATGACATCCGAGACGGCGCCACTCGCACTCCTAATGCCAGTAGCCCTGGGCCGGATGGCCTGCCTTATGAGATTCTGCGATTAATTATGGATCATCCGATGTGTGCTGTCTTACTTGTTCGAATATTTAACGATGGGCTTGCCCTCGGTGTGTTTCCTTCGTCCTGGCAATCAACCTGCGTCTCTCTTCTTCCCAAGAAAGGTGACCTCACATCCCTCCGCAACTGGCGCCCGATCGCTCTCATCAATACCGATGCCAAAGTGTTCACTCGCCTCATCAATCGTCGCATGGTGCCTGCTGCTTCCTCCCTTGTTACGCCCTTCCAGACCGGGTTTGTCCAAGGACGCTTCATTGCTGACAATGGCATGCTGACCAAGTTGGTTATGGCACAGGCTAGACAGGACGGTTCATCTGGTATAGGCCTTCTTTTGGATCAGGAGAAAGCTTACGACAGAGTCCATCCCGACTACCTTCGCCAGGTCTTGCAGCATTTCAACTTTCCCCCTTCCCTCGTTACCTGTATATCTCAACTTTTCTTCTCTACACAGATTCGAATCAATGTCAATGGACACCTATCCCGATCATTCCTTCAGGCTCGTGGACTCCGGCAGGGTGATCCTCTTTCTCCTGTACTCTTTAACCTTGCATTCGAACCTTTGTTGCGTCGTGTGATTCATGATCCTTCCTTTGCCGGATTTTCTCCATCACCACGCACTGCTATTCCACCACCTCCGCCCATCAAGCTCTTGGCCTATGCCGACGATCTGCTAGTCTTTCTGCCTGATGCCGCCCACTTGTCCCGTCTTCATCATCATCTTCTCACATACTCTCATGCCTCCAATGCTCGCATCAATCTCCATAAAACTGAAGCTTTCTCCCTGTCCGGTCTTCCACTGCCAGAATGGCGCCCCGTCCTACAACAATTCGACATCACCGCCTGGTCTGACAGATCTTCCTCCACTCCCCTGCGATATCTCGGCTTTCCTCTTATTCAATCCTTACCTCAGCGCAATTCTTTCTGTGACAACATTCTTTCCAAGATTGAATCTACCTGTAATATCCACCACTCTCGCTCTCTCTCTATTCGTGGCCGTGCCACAGTGCTCAACTCTCTCATCCTCTCTAAGCTCTGGCACGTCCTCAGAGTTGTCACTGTACCTCTATCCTTTTTCCGTCGACTTCGCTCGATCATGAGTAAGTTTATACAATACCGCTCCTTTCCTCCCATTTCTCTCGGCACTTTCTGCCAGCCTATTCGGCTCGGCGGTCTAGGGGTCCTTGATCCTCAGGTTCAACAGGCTGCTCTTCAGTTGCGCTGGCTCCGGCCTCTCGTCCGCTCTCCGCTGTCCCCCTCTGGCCTGGTCCCGCCTTGGTTCTCTTACGTCCTCCGCCTCGACTCCTCATCTGCTGATCCACTCGTTCCTTTGATATTTCCATCTCTCCGATCCTCTCATCAGCGTGATTTCGACTCTCCTCTGGCCACCCTACTTGCTGCCATTGATCTTCTCCCTCACAACTTCTCTGACGTGGTAGTCAACCTCCCCACCTGTCTCTCTCTGCCTCTCTCCTATCTCACTACCGCACAACCAGACCACCCTCCCTTTCCATCTGCATGGCGCGATCTCCGGGTTTCCGACGCCTATGAAGTAGATCCTAGTTTCGGCGTGCTTGCCCAACGCCCCCTCCACCGCATACTCCGTCGTCCTATTGTCCTTCACCGGTTCTTCGAACGTCTCTACACTCGCTCTCTTGTCTTGCACCCTGTCTTGTATCGTGCCACCATTCCCCCCGCGATTTGTGCCATACAGTTTCCTTCGCTAGATATGCCTTCCGGTACAGCTGTCGATGTGCGTCCTTTCTTGACGGCTCTTGTCCCCGGCATCCCTTGGCATCGTTTGTCCACCCAGTCTTTCCGCCTACTCTGCAATTTCCACTCCAAATCCGCACGCCCCATAAGCCCCACACTCGTCCCTCGCCAGCTTCGTCGGTTTTGGTCCTTCCCCCTGCCGCATGGGGCCCGCAACGTTTGGTTTCGTGCCCTGCACAAGAACATTCCTTGCCGTTCTCGCCTCAATTCTAGGATCCCTACCGCTTTCCCAGACCCATCCTGTGCCCTCTGCTCTCACCCTCTGGACAATCAAACTCATTTTTTGTTCCAGTGTCCGGTCAAACTGTCCGTATGGTCGTCAATCTGGACGTTGTACTTTGCCCAGACCGCGACACCCACTGTCTTGCTTTCTGGTTTGCAATCCTTCACATTCCCTCCTTGCACCGATTCTTCTCTTTTTGCTGCCTCAATTTTTGGCTGCACGCTGCTGGCTATATGGCGCCATCATTGGCTGTTCATATTTGATCACGTTCCTTTTGTCTCCTCCGCTGCCTTTTCCACTGTTTCTCTCTTCTCGACCGCCTCAAGAGCGAACTTGCTCTCGACTTTCCCCCCCCCCCTTTAGCTTCTTTCCATACCTCCACAATATATATAACCACAAACATATAAATAGAAAAACATTGTAAAAATATAAAAGCCAAAAACAAGTCGTGATTTTCCTCTTTTGCCTTGCAGCATAAGGCTCACTAATAAACTAGAGCCTTCGGCTCCCTACAAAAAAAAATGTATATGGAAGCCTTGGATGTGAAACATGAGATCGTATAAAATTACATATATGGTTAAATGTTTCAAAAAAAATTTATATGATGTGTCCAAGGTCCCTACTGTCACTATATCGAAAAATAGTGATAATAAGCAGGCACGGACCCAAATTTTCCAAAAAATTATCACTATATCGCGATTATCACTATATCGAATATCACTATATCGAGTTTTGACTGTATATTTATATTTTTTGTATGATTACCAGAGAAAGACAAGCTTTATCGATTAACTACTCTATTAGTACCTTTTAGCAGAATCACATTTTTACCTTGTCTCAACTAAATTCCCTTTCTATCCCAAATTTTATTCTTTTGTGTCTCAATTCTCTTTTTTGTTTGTTTAGAAGTTGATTTTTATTCGTCCAAAAAAAGCTAACATCGTCTCAATTCCAAGTATAAACACTATATATGCAGTTACATAGAAGACATTTAATGGTTTTTCTCTTCAATTTTATGGGCTCAGAGGTTGAAACGTTCTTGACTGCGACTGTATAAGCAAGTCACGCGCCAGTATTTTATCAATTGTGCCCATATTCATCTACATCAACGCTTAATTATACACAACAAAATGGGAGGAGGGGATCTTAATTTAAAGAAAAGTTGGCATCCATCGACATTTAAAAACCAAGAACGTGTTTGGAAAGAAGAACGAAAGCATTCAGATGAGCAACGCAAGATTGAACAAATGAAAAAAGAGCTGGCTGAAGAGCGCCAACTTCAAGAGCTTCAGCAACTTCAAGAGCAAGCAGGTGGAAGGTACGGGCACAAAACTCAAGATTCAATTCATTCGACTAAATCGCAATTAGATCTCGATCTGATAAACTTGATTGGATGTATGCTGCACCGAATCAAGGATCCAATAAAGCAGGAGGAAGTGACATGGAAGAATTCCTGCTCGGAAAGAAGAATGTTGATGAGATCCTACGCAATCGAGGAAATGGAGAATCGGTAAATATATTATTAATATTGTTACTATTATCTTTTTGATTTACTCAATCTGTAAGATCTTATAGCTAGCATCATCTAACGATGACAGATTTGCACTGTCAAATGCAAACGCTAACACTGAAAGAGATATTCAAGCGAAAATCAGAGAAGATCCATTATTGATGATCAAACGTCGGGAACAGCAAGCCTTGAGAGCAATTGTCGATAATCCGTTGCGTATGAAAGAATTAAAAAAGGAGAAGAAAAGTAAGAAAAGTAAAAAAGATATCACTTCCGACCGACACCGCCAACACAAGCGACATAGTTCAGATAAGCACAGTAACGAAAGACGAGATCGATCTAAAGAAAAGTCAAAGCATACATATGAAAGAAATACACGACGTTCAGAGTCGCACACACATCGAGACTCAAGAGAAATAAGGCGTAGAGATTGATATACAAAACCTAAAAATGCATATACATTATGGACAGACGCAACCCGAAAATAATATATATATATATATAATAAAGAGACTTGTTATGGATTGAGGATAGATTTGTTTATTATTTAAAAAAAAAAGGAAAAAAAATAGTAGATATATCTGCTTTATTTCTTGGCAGGCAACTTCTTTTCGTAAGGAATGAAGGTACGACCATCCATGTAGGGTACAAGAGCGGGGGGGACCTCGAGGCCATCTTCGCGTTGCCAGGTCTCCAAGAGACCGCAAATGGCTCTCTCGGTAGCACAGAGGGTAGAGTTAAGGCAGTGGACGTATTTCTTTTCGCGGTCAGACATCTTCTTGACACCACAACGGATCTCAAGACTGCGAGACTGGAAATCGGTACAGTTACTGCAGGACACGAGTTCCTTGTACTCCCCCTGGAAGGGGAACCAGGCCTCGAGATCGTACTTCTTGGCAGCGGCATTGTTGAGAGCACCGGATACAATGGAGACTACGCGGTAAGACAGACCAAGACTCTTGAAAAAGTCTTCGGAGTGGCCAATCATATCATAGAACATCTCCCATGACTTCTCGGGGTCGGTGAGAACAAACTGCTCGATCTTTTCAAACTGATGAACACGGAAGATACCCCATGTATCTTTGCCGTGAGCACCGGCTTCTTTACGGAAACATGTAGAATAGCCAGCATATCTATTTTTATAGTAGTGTAAGTAACCCAGTTTATTTTCTTCTTTACTACATAAAATAAAAATAAAGCCTTTGACTTACTTAATAGGAAGTTGTTCTGCGGGCTTCTCGAACCATTCATTAGCATGGAAAGCAGAGATGGGCTGTTCAGAGGTGGCAATGAGGTATTTGTCATCACCATCACCAGTAACTTTGTAAAGTTCCTCGTCAAACTGGCTGAGCTGGGCAGTCTTGGCCATCATCTCTTTTTTCATGAAAAAGGGAGTCATGAGCTTCTTATAACCACGTCTAGCAAGGAAGGAGAGACCATAATTAATCATAGCCAAGTTAAGATCAACACCGACACCAGTCAAGAAATATCCACGGTGTCCGGCAATATTAGCGCCACGCTCCTGGTCATAGCCATCGAGACGAGAAAGAACCTCGTGATGGGAGAGGATGTCTGTTCTCTTGACAGGGACAACGTTATTGTGATTGTAGGTGCGAATGATCTCGTTATTATCTTCATTCATTGAGGTTGGGACAGATGAATGAACAATGTTGCCCATTGTAGAGAGCTTCTCCTTCCAGTTACTCTCGGACTCCTTGGCCTGGGCAATCAACGCCTCTTTGTCTTTTTGGAGCTGTTCTTTTTGCTTTACAAGAGGGGTAGCGTCTTCCTTGGCCTTGAACTTCTTTCCAATATCCTTTTGAACGGCATTGATCTCCTTGTTCTTCTGGTCACTCTGGAACTGGACTACATGTGTTACAGATTACTTAGTATTCAAGGATAAAAGTTCAGCTTTACGCGTTAATCACTTACTCTTAACCCATTCCTTGTAAAGAGCAATAATCTCATCAACAATCTCAACGGAATCTCCACGTCTGCGCTGAGATTCTTTGACTGCATCGGGATTACCACCACGGTCTTCCAGGAGCAAGTTGATGTCAAGCATGATGTATAAGATGTATGACTCACTTTTCTAAAAAAAAAGTGTAAAAAAAATACAACAATAAAAAATTAGCGTCGGAGTGGGTGACTCTGAATTGCGGCTTTGCGCCATGATTCACCAAACGCCAATGGCATCCAAAGGACCATGGACACCACACCAGACCCAGGAAATTCTTACTTTCTTGTTTTATTATTTTATTTTCACCCAACTATAATACTTATTTTACTTTCGAGTTGATGGGAACTTTATTTATCTATGCTTAAATTGCACTGAATATAACTTAATAGACCTGTGCTGTCAAGTAAGTATTATCTTCCTATCTTCTTTTATTAATCTGTGTCTTTAAAAAGCTTTAGCTTTTATAAATTTATATATTTAATTTGGAGCATTTTTTTACATATGATTTTGATTCAATAAAAAGGGAAAAAAAGTAAATAAAAGAATATGCTTAAGACATATATGTGTATGTAAGCCTTGGAAAACTCCAATAAAAAAAGGTACTTCAATGACAGAGGCTCTTGTTTTCCAACAATTGGTGTGGACAGACTAAAAGGGCAAAAAAAGGGCAAAAAAAGGGCAATTTTTTTTAATCGACTCTAATTAGCTAGTTTTCTTCCATTGCCACTAGGATTGAGAAGAGAAGCATTTTTTTATGGAGAAGATGGGCCATATAATTAGAGGTCTAGAAAAACTCGCAATAAAAGGTTCTCACTTAATGACAGAGACAGGATTATATGCACAAATTTATCTAATATGTATTTTGAACTAATTTTGAACTTTTTTTTTTAAAAAAAAAGGTGTGGACAGTCATAAATTAGTCTGATTAACTAAGCTCTGGCTGAAGTTGTTTTACCTTTTTTTTGAGCTTTTATTCTGTCCACATCAAATCGGCACAGGTGGTACCTATCTACAAAAACAAAGGAGCGCACGCAGATCCCAGCAGTTATAGGCCCATCAGTTTGACCTCGGTGTTCAGGAAGCTTTTGGAGCGATGCCTGGCTGAGGAACCCCTTTCGATCATGCCAGAGTTAGACATAGCCCAGGGAGGATTCCGCGCTAGCCGCGGTACCCTAGACCAGGCTCTCTGTCTCCACGAACTAATGAGGCAATACTCTGTTCCCGACCCTGAGCGAGAGCAAGCGCTCAAACCCCCAGTTGTTGTCTTCCTCGACATAAAAGCTGTATATGGTAGTGTGGATCGTCACGCCATATGGGACTCGTTGCGACCCTTTGTGTCGGAACCCTTGCTAGTGCTACTTCAAAATTTGTTTAACGATATTATTGTTAATGTAGTGATGAAAATGTAGCCTCCCGTGGTATTACGCCGAGACACGGAGTCCTGCAGGGTAGTATACTTTCACCTTTCTTGTATTCAATTTTTATTGATACCCTACCACGTTTACTTTGGGGAGTCTCCACCCAACCATACTACGTTCGCGTCCCCTCTCCCTCGTTAACAAGGTCCCTTCGTTTGTCCTCATACTGTACGTACGCATTTGACGGCCCAACAGCCACTCCTTTGTCATTATTGGAGGAGCTTAGAACGGTCACCTGTAATGTGTTCAGTGTTCCAAGGACGGAGGGGGATGCACCAGACTTTCTTCCTATGCCAATGGCTCCTATCAACTGTCTTCTGTACGCTGACGATGTTGCCCTTATCGGCACACCCGAAGATGCGCAGAAAATGTTGACTGTAGCTGAGACACATTCAAGTCTTCTGAGGTATAAGTGGAGTCCATCCAAATGCGAGGTCCTCAATGCCCCTCCCAATTTTCCCTTTTCTCTATACAGGAATACTCTTCCCACTTGCACACCCTTTAAATATTTAGGATTTCCTTTCGCTAGCCATGGTATAGATCAAGTCGACATGTTCCTTAAGTCGCAGCAAAAAGCTTGTGCAGCAATGTGCAAGCTTAGTAGCTCGGGTGTGCACATGAACGGTTTTGGTCTCCCTGCGGCTCCCAGAGCTTATCTCATTTTTATCCGCCCCATTCTTGAGTACGGCTTAGCTATTGTTCCTGCTAGCCAGAGTGACATTCATATCTTGCAGAAGGCTCAAAATATGTGTCTCCGGACATGTATTCGACGGCCCGATGCAACGATGGGAGTTGTTCATATCGCTGCATTAGCTGCTCTACCCAACGTATTCATCCGTTCCCGTGCTCTTCAAGCCAAATTTCTTTGTCGTGCTGAAACACTACCCTCAGACTCCCTGATTAAAGCTCTTACCACGCAGCTGGAACTTTCCAAAGAAAAAACGACATGGGGTGAGCTTCGTCGTAGTGTACTCTGGAAAAAGCCCCAATTTCTGAAAGAACATCAACCTCGGTTGAAGGACCCATTAAAAGAAGCTTATGCTCTACTGTGCCAAAAATAAATCGACATGCAACTTGCAAGCATTAACTGTCCGGTAAATGTTGCTAGAGGCTTGTGCAAACCTGTCTGGGATCCGGTCTTACTACTGCCCTGCACTCGTTCAGAACGACGCCGCCTGATCAAATGGCGAATTGCTTGGCTACCACCTACACCATAAGTTGAGTGCCAATGTGGCGCTATCAAGGGTAATCGAAACCACATGCTTATATGCCCCGCCACAATCACTCTCGTTCAAAAACTCTGGTCTTTGATAGATCCTGCTCCTCCCCCAGAGGTTCATCTCATCGACTATGGTCTCAACTGTCTCCCCAGGTCTTTCAAATCGCCTGGTACGTGATGCGATTGGTGGCCGTGCTTGCTTGCCTTGCTACGTGCTGTTGAACAAACCACCTCATCCTACAAACTGCCAGAAGAAAAAGCTCATGGTCAAATCCTCATCGACCTTGCAGCAAAATTCCGTGCCACAAAACCAACCCGTCCCCACCGCATCCCGCTGCCCACCCAAGAACCTGTTCCTGGTGATCCGTTCCCTCATCTTCTATCCGAAATTTCCACCGTTCCTCGTCAACTCCCTCCATCTGTGCCCGCCTGAAATTGTGCCTAGGAGGACTGACTTGGTCTGGTATTGTTGTGTATTCTGGATCCATAAATGGGTCGTCCGAGTTTCTAAAAGGAATCCCTCTTTGGAGCTCCTATCCCTGCTGAAATCCGTTCCCAATTCTGGTGCCGTCAGTACCAAGTTACTTATTCTCGATTCTTTCGTGTCATTTATTTTTCTTATATATTTATTTCACCTGTATTCTTACCAGCTGTATTATCTATTTTAGTCTTAGTCTTTCTAAAAGCCGTTTTCCCCCACAGGGGGTTTTTTTTACGTGCTCTCTTAATGTTTTGTTGACTATTCATCTTTGTCTTTGGCATGCGCGTTCCATATTTTTTCTTTATTTTTCTTTCACTTTTACATATTTTTTTTTATTCCCCCTCATATTTAAGGGGTTACTTTTATTAATTTCAATTATTTCCCGGCTCTCATCGGGTAGCCAATATGCTAAAATGCGCAAGACCTAGAAAAACCCAAAATAAAATATTTTCACCTGTCCACACCAAGTATGTTGTTGTCTACTTGAGTTAGAGACTGATGCGCATTTAGATTTTTTGTGGGCGAAATTGCCTTACAAATCGAGACAAACAAGACTTTGAAATACTTTCTTTCACTGGTATTGTTAGTTAAGGCTAAAGAAATGTCTCGAAATCAAAGACTACTTCAAGTTTCCCATGTTTAACAGCTATCATTACGGCGGAAAAAATGGTAACATGTTTACTACTTTGGTAAAATGGCTGGCATTTTTTACTTAATAAAAAATAACAGTTATGACTCTGTATAAGACCAAAACAGGTACTGTTACCATTTTTTCAAGAAAAATCAAGCGTCCTCCCTCTTCTCTATTACATTCTCTCTTATACAACTTTAAAAGAATAGTTTGTTTTTTATTATATGAAAAATATTATTGCCAGAAAAAAACTTTTCTATTGGCCACTTACAATAACAAAAAACATTACTGCTTTGCTACTGCAAAAGGTACGCAGTAAAACACTGTTATTTAAATTCTATCTTATATGATTTGGGTCTTCTGATATATCTTGGATGGCACTTATTATTATTTTTACCGATCTCTACAAATATACCGATGTTAGAGAGAGAGAAAAGAAAAAAATAAATATAAATATATATAATATGCTGGCTAGTTCAGTACAACAAGTGTTTGCTCTAAGAATATATATATATATCTTACCACTTTGCTCGATAATGATTTGTTGCATTGTATTCAGGTCTTTCGCACTGACTGTTTGCACAAACTGTTTGCTAAATTGCTTGCTAAATTGTTTTTGAAGCTCGCGTAATGATTGATCGATTTCGACAATGACAACTTCAATTTTCTGCATCGAGTTAATGAGAGTAGTATTAATATTGGACATGTTTAAATTTTTTAATTACAAGTATGAGGAGTGAGTTTGAAAGAAAACATGATAGTGTATGTAAGTAGGATAAGATAAATATTTGGGCATGAGAAATGTGATGTTTTATTACTAATGATTGATAGCTATTTATATGAAAGAGATTAGGACAGAGATACAGACAGAGCAAATAAAAGAAGATATGTTTATGCACTTGTATGTACCAGATTGTATTAGCTCATGCGGACGGGTACAATCCTTTTGTGTCCACACAACAAACCTGCAAAGAATATAAAGTGAATAAGACGTTTAGTTTCTGCTATATATTCATATATGTTCATACTTCACACTATCCATACATCAAATTTCTTAAAGTATATGCTATAACAATATAGTTCTATACAAACTGTAGCTATTCCATGAAATTTCTTTACATTTCTCAATGACAAAACTCTGTGATAGCTAAAAAAACGACTTTGGTATAAGCATACTCTATGAAGGCAATATGACGTCTGAACATCATATAGTTAATTAGCCCTTCATTATTGTTGTGGTGATTATGCTTTGTGCAGAAGTTTATTTATGGAAGATTTGAAAGTGGAGGAAACGAAGATTTGTGAGAACATGTAGGGTTTGTTTATTGCGAAAATTGGGTGTATCAAATTTTGACGGGATTCTTACACTGAACTACTACTGTTATTTATATTATTTTGGATCAGAAAAAATTATGTGACTAGGGTCAAGTAATCAATCTTGTACAGGCCTTAATTAGAGCAGCTTTATTCCGGGACAATTCATATACGATTAACTATATAAATGTGTACAGTCCCGATGAAGTACTATCATAGAAATAGAATATGCTTGCGAGTTATAATTATGCATTTTATAATTTGTTGATGTATCCCTTATTGCGATGATATAATCATATAAAGCGAGCTCTGCTTGCTCTCCGAGGGTTCCCCGTTGAGACGAGTAGCTGCACAATGTATAAAGAAAGAATAACCAAGAGGCTTATATCTATATCAATCCTCTACGTTAAATAAGTCTATTTATAAGACCCATATTTATATTTTATATTGTATTGTATTGTTATTTGCCCCTCCCTTTAGCCACTCTTTAATAATAGGATAATAGGCTTAAACTTATAGCTGTATGAAAAATGTATATAGTAAAAAAATGTATATAATAGTAATTTTAAAAATATGATATAATATAAAAAGTAAAATATAGAGGTTAAAGCATAGAGTTTGCTGAATAAATTTGAGAAATATAAATAAGGAGGGCATATAAGTTAAAGGAGAGCTTCTTCATACACTATATTCTTTGTGCTGTTTATATCTTTTTGTAAAGCTACATATACATTCATTGGATCTGTTGCTCTTGACAATGCAATATATAGCTGTTTATGTGAGAAAACTGGATGGTCAAAACCCCAACATGAGACAATGTTTGGCCTTGTGCTTTGTTTATTGTCATCGAAAAGGCAACATGGACAGGAAATTGATAAAGTGGCAGTATAAAGGGTAACTACCCTTCATTTGTTGCCATATTAAACCTTGGTAGGAAATGTTCCGTTGTGTTGTATCCTTGATCTAATCTTTTTACACTACTGATGTTCCAGGTGAGACGGACAACAAACACTTTGGTCCCATTGCACAGGCCAGCTTCCTAATCGACGTTGCGCATGATAAGAAGAGGTGTACCAACTTTCAACTTGAGTATATGTGGTGGAATTCCATTGCAAGTGAGTGAGTTGAGGAACTCAGCTGGATATCTGGCATTGTTTGCATCTGGGTCATCAGAGTCCATGTCCATGTCCAAAGAGGTATATGCATGATCTTCTCCAGAGAACATTTTGAGAGCAACTTCATTAATCTGGCTGATCGTGAGATTTGTTGGAGCAAGAATCTCGTTTTTGCTATTTTAGCAAGGCTGTTGCTCGACAGAAGATATGTGTGGATACACCTTGTTGATCAATGTTTCAAAATACTCAGAGTCAACATGCCACTGAACAGGAATATACATGATGTGCTCATGTTCACCTTCTCCATTAACAATGGCCAGAAGCTTTTCCGCAAATTCAGATGCAAGTGGCCCACTCTGAAAAAGTCTTGTGTTTTGAGTCAAGTGAAGGACTTTTATTGATCTCCAAAATAAAGCACGGTTGGGGCATTTACCCTAAACTTCAGATGGTGTTCCCCGTTTTAGAACTGGCGAGATTTGCCGAAAATCACCACCAAAAACAAACACCTTTCCACCAAATGAGATATGCTCATAAGCAGGATCAACCGCCCCCATTATGTCCCGAAGACATCGATCAACTGCTTCAAAACTATATCTACTGCACATTACAGCTTCGTCCCAGAGAAAAAGTTTTGATTTTTGTATGAGCTTGGCGTGAGGGGATCCAAGAGATATACTGCATGAAGAGTCGTGGTTGGCATTTAAAGGTATTTTAAATCTGCTGTGAGCAGTTCGTCCACCTGGCAAGAGGATTGCGGCAATTCCAGACGTAGCAACAGGTAGAGCAATTTCACTCTGAGATCTTACATAGCTTAAGAGTGCTTTAAAAAGTAAAGACTTCCCTGTACCACCGGTGCAATCAACAAAGAAGAGTCTGGTTGCTTTTTCGGTGTCTTGCATGCTTATAGATGCAATTATTGCACTATAAGCTGTTTGCTGCTCTGCATTCAACAATCTTTCGTACTCGCCAAGACTTCTTTGCTCTTCTTCTGCACTATAGCTTCTTCTCTCAGCCATTTCCAAAGATTGCTCTGCTGAGAGCTCTTCCAATTCTGTTACGTAGTCTTGTGGCATTGATGGATATTCAGAAAGACTATGGCCAGTTACTTGAAGGCGAGATTGAATATCCCCAAGAGCTCTTTGAAGGATTATTGCTTTTTGTTCCTCAGTCAAATCTATTTCAACACTTTGGATATTGTGACGCATATTAAAGTAATAATTGTCAGACATAATATCTTTGTGCTTTTTCCCATAGTAGAGCACGATTGAATGGAGAGCAATTGGTTAAGATGTAAGTAAATAAAGCACGTATGATGGCGGCAGAAGGAGCAATTTGTTCAGCTTCACATAGCCATTGATTTCACTCATTGTCATCAGTGTTATGTATGAGATAAAAATAAGGTATAAAATAAAGTAAGTGCAGACGTGAGTACGGTGAGACTTTGTTTTATTAGAAGAAGTGAAAGAATCAGAAAAGAGATCATGTTCTATTGCTATTAGTATTGTGCGTTTATATAGACATTGTATTTAGCTTGGTGATGATATGATGATATCATGTAATGTCTGTTTCTCTACCATTATCTTCTATGATTTAGTTCTTATGTTTTTAGTGTTATTGACTAGAGTCTTAGTATTTGTCTTAGTATGTTCTTTACGTAATTTCCTTGTATAAGGGAAGGTATATCTTTTAGTATCGTTACTAGTTGTCGGTAACTCAATGTACGTATTTATTGAGTGTCTGTACTTTTAATTTAAATCTACGATTATGTTGGATACAACACTTGTCATCATCATTGACCAAGAGGTAGTTTAACTGATATTGTCATCAAAGATAAAAAGTATTTTGGTTGCTGCTATTATTGTTTACCAAGTCGTATTTTGACTAAAATTGTACATTTTGAAAGAGATGTGTTTTAACTCGCGTCGCCACTTTCAGTTCATGTTTTTCAACCAGCATAGCCAATCTTAATGATGCCAATAAAAGAGTATCGAACTCCAGCACTCATCATCTATAGCCTATTTTTTAGGCTTTATACATAAATCAAAAAATATATATTATTCACTATCTCAAAAAGACTGTTATCACTAGACAATAATATATAGATATCTCTTCTCTACCAATGTATCTAGGCAATACTATTATTTTCCTTTTTTTTACTATTAATTATTAGACGGTTGTTGCTCTTTATATTCGGTATTAGAAAGGACTTGAAAATTTATTTAAAAATGTATTTCCATAAATTATTTAGTCATTAATTATCCTAAATATGTATATACCTCTTTATAAAGCCCAAAGAATATCTAATAGTTTAAGAGAAAAGATTCCGGGACTGTTGTACCGGTGCTCTTTTAATGGTACCTCCTTGTTGACCAAGAGGTCCTTTAACTTACATCGCTATTACTTAGCAAGAATTTTGACTGCTACCAGAACTACTTACCAAAATGTGTCTCAACTAAAATCGACATTACTATAATCATTGCCATATCATTACTATAAGAAGAAAAAAGGAACAGCAAGCATTTTGGTCTAAAATAAAGAGTATATAAGGCTGTCTTTTACATTTCATGAATAATACCAAATTTTTCTTCACAGCTTTATTTTATATATTACATACGTACCAAACCAACCAACAAAAAGATAGATTATCTAAACAAATATATAAATGCTCTTAGTGTGTCTTGTCATTTGATAACTACCAGCAGCTTTAGAATCACAAGAGTCCACAAAAGTGATCGTACAACACCAAATGCCAATTCTCAGTATATTCCAGGGGACGTTGAAACGAAAAACAATGTTAGAAATGGCACTCTTGAAGATAATGCGTTCATTAGCGATTCAGGTAATTATAACAAGTGTAATTATATTATTATTTTGTCTGAATACTTATTCGATAGTACATTATAGACTATTCAGTAAACGCTATGGAGATCAATAAGGTAAATTCTTACAAGTGCGGCTGTAGTTTTGAGGACAGTTAGGGTGAATCTCACGTTTGAAATAGCAGTTTAATTGGCACCAATACTTTTAGAAAAGCTGAATTAATGAGTATCTGCCTCTTCTAATTGACGCTGCGGCACAAAATTGCTAAATCAGCATACCGAGATATTGTTAGATTTGTAAACACCATCATACTCGACCATGGTGAAACAATATTGAGTAAAATACTATCTTTACTGTTACCTTGTACCTTAAATACAAACTGTTAAAACGTAATGTATTGGTTCTTTTGTTTTTAGCCCCCGGGGTCAGGATCAGTCCCAGTGAAGCAGTTGATGACTTGCTGCAATCCAAGTCTAGCATCAATGGTCACGAATACAATGTCTGTTCGAAATTTTGCATATTGTATGGCATTGGTGATAAGCAGAAAAATTACGTTGACTGTGGCGAGATGCGTTACAAGACAAATAGCGAGTTGATTGAAACACCAATCGCCAGTATGAAGCTCCTGTAGATTCGTGACATTATTTCACAGATTCCAGCCGATCCGATCACAAGAGAGCTCCTATATCACAGGACAAATAGCGAATCAGTAGCTGGCCAAATTACTGATATTTTCGATGTTGAAAATTACAAGAAGTTGGTACAACAAGGCCTGTTGTCTAATCCAAATGATATAGCCATTGGGATTTATACCGACGGGTTTATCAGCCAGAAGTAAGGTAAGAGCTCATACACCACTGCTCACGTTGTGGTGTTTAACCTTGATCCGCCTATCCAGTAATTAAATATTTTTATTATTATTTTAAAAAAGAGTTCCTAACAAAATATTTAGATATATCAATAAATACATTTTACAACTGGCTATCCTACCTGGCCTTAAAAAGTCGACTCATTTGGACTCATTCCTAATGCCCATTATCAGTGAATTATGAGATCTTAGGGTTCATGGCTTGGTGGTTGAGTGCAACGGAGTAGAACTTTGCCGGTCCAAAGTTTATCTGTTGCTTGCCTCTGGCGATATTCCAGTTGTAGCTTATATGGCCCACTTTGGTTCCCATAACAGTTTGTTCGGTCGCTGCTCGTTTGAGACGAAAGGCAAATCCCCCAATAACAGCCGTCAAGGCACCTACTTAGAAACCAGTTCTGCGCCTCTAAGACCTTTAGAAGAACCCGAAGCGGGCATGCCTATTAGTATATGAATATCCAATTAATCACATTTTTTACTAAATAATTGCTTAAAATATATAAAAAAAATACCAACCAGGCATCTTTACTCAATTGGAAACTGCATTACCGACTCACAGAAATATATACCCACCTCGTTTCAAGACAGTTTTGACAAAGTATCTGCCCAGATAGATGGTACTCGCGCAGTTTACTGGCTCCATTTTATTTTATACCTCGTTCCCACTTTAGTCGCGCCCCATTTGCCTAATAGAGCTGTCAAAGGTTGTGTGTTGGCATTGCAATGGACATCGACTTCCGAGTTACTGGACGAGATAGATGCGTAAGTCATGATACACCTCTTATTATATCATTATACATAACTGACTATTACCTCTTTTTAATAATAATAATAGGTATTTTAAACACTGGCGCGGATTTTTTTTACCAACATAACCAGACCAATACCCTATCTCGCAGTGTTTTCCGATCAGTGCAACCTTACCTGGTCCATACACCCTATATTATCAAGCAGCAAGACCCCCTGAAATGCGATTCCGCTCACTCCATGAAGAGAGTAATTGGCATAAAATCAAATTTAATTAAGTCCAAATCAAAGGGTGGCCGAAATCCTAGATTTATTGTCAGGCGTTTTGTGATACACAACCATGACAGCATGTCAATCGGTGTTCACAACGAATTAGACACAATTCAACCCAAGTCATGCGATGAAGAAAGTTACATGGACTTTCCTAATGATCTTAGTGGCGCACGATTAGGGGAGCCATTTTATTGATTTGGTCATTTGAACGATGATTCGGTGGAAGATGTAAGCGGCCCTAGTGCGAAGGAAGCTTTATTGAAATACTACTGAAGAACAACAGGCTTGACTGGCCACGATTTCGGTGACTCTATTGTTGTTGTTGCTGCATGTCTATGTATAGAATCAACTATATATTTCTTATGAATGCACCAAAGAAAGAAAAACGAGACCAGTCGTGGCAATCATTACGTGATATTTACTTGCCCTTACAGAAAGTAAGTATGGTATTTTTCAATATACAATCAAAAGTTGCTTGCATTTTATTTATTTATTTACTCTAGAAACCGTAATACAATTGTCCATTTCTGGCTCGTTGGTAAGGTACAATCCTTTTATCAATGCAAGGATTCTCGTTACTCCTTGCATTTTCTTGCATTCGTAGAGATCATGAAGGAACATGACGCGGCTGGCCATGACTCATCAGTGCCTACTGTCAGATAGCAGTCACACAGTAACCGCACACCAGGCTGCTAAGCGCAACCAACGTATGTTGTCATAAGTGTAAATGACATTCAGCACCAAGTTGGCCTAGTGAAATACCCACCAAATGGAAACTAATTCTATGTAATTGCGCCATATTATATATTTAACAGTAACATGCACATTGCCAAAGGCACTCTTTCCATTTTATGACTATTTTTTACTTTATTTCAATACACCCTATATACCCTATATTTTCTATATTATTTTCATCTTATATATATCTTACACAACTTTTAAATCAAATTAAGTCGTTAATTCATCAGGCTAAAAAGAGTATTTAACTTAAAAAGCACAGCGTATCAGTTTAAACAATAAAAATAATAGCAGTTATGCTACCATTTCGTTCCCACATTCCATAAATAATTAATGTTAATAAATGGTAACATATTTAACATTAAACAGAATGTACATTCCAATATTTAAAGTGGTCCTTACAACTTACAAATACTTTCTAGAATGTCAGAGCTATCATACAACAGCAAAATCGATTTCATGCTAGCTTATAAATTGTTGAGAATATGAATACAACACAGCTATAAAATAGATATAGTAAGGTTAATTAAGCGTAAAGGTTTTTTTATATAATGTAGTGTGTAGTCAATATTCTTCTCTTATTTAAAAAATAAAAAATAAAAAATAAAAAATAAAAAATAAAAAATAAAAAATAAAAAATAAAAAATAAAAAATAATGAATGATTAAATTCAGTCTGCGTTTAAACTTTTCAAAAAAAATTAAATAAAATTAAATAAAATTAAATAATCACAAACTTAAACACTACTTTTCTCATTTTCTGCTGATTCGATTTTAATGAATGTACTTTCATTCGAATGCTGCAACTATTCTCTATACGAATATCTTGTTATAATCGCGGAGTTTGAACTAAAACGCCTTTTCGGGGTTTGAAATGTGCGCTGATTATATGTCCGATGGGCGTGATACCCCTAGCAAAGAAGTGAATAATTGTTTGGGTATATATATAATGATAGACTGCTGAAGATGCTCTTATATGCTTTCAGCATTCCACATGCAGCTTGTCAGTGATTTGTTAAATATCAGCAATACGACTATATTATTATTTTACTCGCAGATACGTCACGCTTAATGATGATTTGCTTAGGCAAACAAACTGGCTAAGTTCTATTAAGATCCACTTTTCCAGCAATTATAAAGACATACATAAATAAATATCAATGACAGCTACACTTGTTTTAACAAATAAAATAAACAATATTAAGATAGGCATTTACCTAATGCGAAAACCAAAAAAAAAAACAATTAATATTTATTGAAATACATATTTAAATAAAAGTATTATTGTATAAATGAGTAATTAGTTTTTAAAGAAAGACTATATTAAAAGCATTAGTTGATACTATCAGCTAGCATTGATCAGTTAACAGCTGCTGATATTTCTAATGATAAATAAAGACTTAACATTTGATAATATCGCCGATGATAATTAAAAAGCTGTTGTTACAATTCCAACAGATATGTAACAATTTAATAGCTAATATAAATTTTAAAGTAATTACATTAATACTTTGCTATAAAATAATATATGAGAAAATCACATCTTTCATAGTAATATGAAAGACAAAAAGATAATACATATAATTATGAGTGAAGTAAACAAATACTAGGGTGTTTCAGAAGTTTTAGATATTTGATTGTTCTAATTTCATGAATTAAATCTACAAGTCAATAATAATTAATCTATCAAAAATCGACTGAGTGCCCTAAGTATTACATAAAATCTATATTTTTTTTAAAAAAAAATCGCAATTTCACCATTTTTCAACTATTCAAACAACTTTTCAAACAACTCTCCAAACATCTAAAACTGCTAAAACACCCTACTGTCAGTATGTTTGTTATAAATGACTTCATATTTATATCTTACAGATACAATATATAATAGAAGAGCTCATAAGTAGTTAAGACAAAAATAATTAATAATGTCTTGTATAATATAAAAATTACACAAATAAATAGAGACAGAAATAATTGAACATGTAAGTATATAAATATAATAGTAAATGGCATAAGTAATTTTGAGAAATAAATGGGGGAGAGAGTAATAGGAAAGCTATTGATTTAATGGGGTGGATATAAAAATAATTAAAAAGACAAATTTGATTAAGATAGGAAAACAAGATACGTCGAAGTTATGGACAAAGGCAATGAGATAAAAAAAATAAAACTATTGCATAATGTGTAGTTGTGTATTATGTACGATATATTAAATTTATAGATCAATTGAATACGAATTGCAAAAGTTTTAATATAAGCAAGTAAATATATCGTATGTATTTATGATATGTAAATGCAAAGGGAAAAAATAGAAAAAAAAAAATAAAAAAATAAAAAACCTACGACATAGCGTATTCCCATGTGGTCCCCCACCATAGTACTGACGCTACCAGGAGAGACTTAACTGCGGAGATCAGACGGGATCCGGTGTGTTACTATCTGTATGGCCGTAGATTAATTACATATAAAAAAAAATAATTATATAGGAGATTAAAATAATCCAAAATAATCGGGTATAATAGGGTTATACTGGCTAAATAAAAAGCGGTTTGATTACACAAAAGGTGGATATGGTTAAGTAAAAGGTGGATATGGTTAAGTAAAAGGTGGATACGGTTAAGTAAAAGGCGGTTTAGTTAAATGAATGACCCAAACAGTATATTACTGGCCATATAAAAGGCGGTCTGCTTAAACCCAAAGCGGTTTGATTAATTAACCATAGTCTAATTAAGTAAATGACCCGAATTGGAGAATCTTGGTAGAAAAAAGCATGGTCTGGTTAAATAAAATATGGTCAAGTTAATTAAAAGGCGGTTTGCTAAATTAATTCACCCGAATAGTACGGTCCTGGTAGATAAAAGCTTAGTCTGGTTGATTAAAAGGTGTCTGCTTAAATTAAATGCGATGTGATTAATTGACTAGGGTCTGATTAATTAATTGACCATCAAGGTAGAATCCTGGTAGATAAAAGCATAGTCTGGTTAATTAAAATACGGCCAGGTTAAACCAAAGGTGGTCAACTTAATTAAAAGGTGTTTAGCTTAAATTAAAGGCGGTCTGGTTAATTAACTATTGTCTAATTAATTAAATGACCCAAGTGGTAGAATCCTGGTAGATAAACGCATGATCTGGTTAAATAAAATACAGTCTGGTTGAACCAAAGGTGGTCTAGTTAATTAAACGGTGGTCTGGTTAAACTGAAGGTAGTCTGATTAATTAACTATGGTCTAATTACTTAAATGACCCGAATGATAGAATCCTGGTAGATAAACGCATAGTCTGGTTAAATAAAATATGGTCTGGTTATATTAAAGGCGGTTGGCTTAACCCAAAGGTGGTCTACTCAATTATCTTTGATATAATTAATTAATTGACCCGAATGATATAGTCCTGGTATATTAAAGCACAGTCTGGTTAAATAAAATACGGTTAGGTCAAACCAAAGGTGGTATGGTTCATTAAAAGGCGATCAGCTTAAACTAAAGGCGGTCTGCTTAAACTAAAGGCGATTAGCTTAAATTAAAGATGGTCTGCTTAAACTAAAGGCGGTCAGCTTAAATTAAAGACGGTCTGCTTAAACTAAAGGCGATCAGCTTAAATTAAAGACGGTCTGCTTAAACTAAAGGCGGTCAGCTTAAACTAAAGGCGGTCTGCTTAAACTAAAGGCGGTCAGCTTAAATTAAAGACGGTCTGCTTAAACTAAAGGCGGTCTGCTTAAACTAAAGGCGGTCAGCTTAAATTAAAGACGGTCTGCTTAAACTAAAGGCGGTCTGCTTAAACTAAAGGCGGTCAGCTTAAATTAAAGACGGTCTGCTTAAATTAAAGGCGGTCAGCTTAAATTAAAGACGGTCTGCTTAATTAATTATACCTTAATTAATTATTTGACCAGAATGGTAGAATCCTGGTAGACTTAAAGAAGATCTGGTTAAATTAAAGGCAGTCTGGTTAATTAAAACGCGGTTTGATTAAACCAAAGGCGATCTGATTAATTAACTATAATCTAATTAAGTAAATGACCCAAATGGTAGAGTCCTGGTGGATAAAAGCAAATTCTGGTTAACGTAAAGGCGGTCTGGTTAGTTAAATGACCCGAATGGTAGAATGCAGGTAGATAAAAACATAGTCTGGCTATTTAAACGGTAGCCTGGTCAATTAACTTTATGTAATTAATTAATTGACCCAAAAGGTATAATCCTGGTAGATAATAGCATAGTCTGGTAAATTAAAGGTAGTCTTGTTAATTAAACGGTAGTGTGGTTAATTAAACGGTAGTGTGGTTAAACAACTATATATAATTAATTAATTGACCCGAATGATAGAATCCTGGTAGATAAAAACATAGTCTGGCTATTTAAACGGTAGCCTGGTCAATTAACTATATATAATTAAATAATTGACCCGAATGATAGAATCCTGGTAGATAAAAGCATAGTCTGGTCGATTAAAGATAGTCTGGTCGATTAAACCGTAGCCTGGTTAATTAAACAGTTGTCTGGTCAATTAACTATATGTGATTAATTAATTGACCCGAATAGTAGAATCCTGGTCGATTAAAGGTAGGCTGGTAAATTAAATCGTAGCCTAGTCAATTAAACGGTAGTCTGGTTAATTAAACGGTAGTCTGGTCAATTAAACGGTAGTTTGGTCAATTAAACAGTGGTCTAGTCAATTAAACAGTGGTCTAGTCAATTAAACAGTGGCCTGGTCAATTAAACGGTGGCCTGGTCAATTAAACAGTGGTCTAGTCAATTAAACGGTGGTCTGGTCAATTAAACAATTGTCTGGTTAATTAACTATATGTAATTAAATAATTGACCCGAATGGTAGAATCCTGGTCGATTAAAGGTAGCCTTGTTAATTAAACGGTAGTCTGGTCAATTAACTATATGTAATTAATTAATTGACCCGAATGGTAGAATCCTGGTAGATAAAAGCATAGTCTGGTCGATTAAAGGTAGGCTGGTCAATGGAACGGTTGTCTGCTTAATTATTTATACTCTAATTAATTAATTGACCCAAATGATTGAATCCTGGTAGATAAAAGCATGGTCAGATTAAATAAAAGGCGGGTCTGGTATATTAAATTACCCAACTGGGGAATCCTGGTGAATAAAAGTGGGTCATGTTAACTAAATGACCCCAATTATTTTGATACCAGTTAATAAAAGCAAGCCGATTAACTAATTGACCCAAATTGCTTTAATACCAGTTAATAATAAACCGATTAACTAATTGACCCAAATTGTTTTGATGCTAGTCAAAAAGTTGGCTGCGTTAATTAAATGACCCAAATTGTATTTATCCTAGTCGAAATATGGGTTAGGTTAACTAAATGACTCAAATACTATAATTACCAGTCCATTGAGAGCAAATTCTGGTAAGCAAATGATCGATCTAGGTGAACATTGTGTATGTCTGGTCAATAAACAATGCATCCTGGTAAATGGGCGATTCATACGATGCATAAATGTTGCATTTAATTAATTAATTCATGAATCCTGATATAAAAAATATATTCGGTCGATAAAGGATTGATCCTGGTAAACAATGTATATTTCTGGTCAATAAACAACGCATCCTGGTCAATAATCGATCCATCCGATGTATAAATGATGAATTTAATTAATTAATTAATTAATCCTGGTATAAAAAATAATATTCGGTCAGTAAATGATCGATCCTGGTGAACAATATATATGCCTGGTTAATAAACAATGCATCCTGGTCAATAACCAATCCATCCGATGTATAAATGATGAATTTAATTAATTAATTAATTAATCCTGGTATAAAAAATAATATTCGGTCAGTAAATGATCGATCCTGGTGAACAATATATATGTCTGGTCAATAAATAGTGAATCCGGTCAATAACCGATCCAGCCGATGTATAAATAATGAATTTAATTAATTAATTTATGAATCCTGGTATAAAAAATAAATCCGGTCAATAAATGATCGATCCAGGTAAATAAATAATGAGTTCTGGTAAATAAATAATGCATCCGGTCAATAACCGATCCATCCGATGTATAAAGAAATGTTTTGGGTCGATAAATGATCAATCCTGGTAAATAAATAATAAATTCCTGGTAAACAATTGACTCCATGCAGCAATCTTGGTAAACATAAACAAACCGTCGATCTTTGTAAACAAAAGGGCGATCATTCCATGCAAAAGGGCGATCATAGTAGACAATATTGAATTATGGTGAATAAAAGGGTAAACATGGTAAAATAAAGGGGTGGTAAATGTAAAAAAATGAGCCAAAAGTGCCACACGGATAAAAAACGAGCCACAATGCATGGCACCCGTGTCATAGTTGGCCATTGTTGTCAACTGGTTACCATATATGGAACAAACCTAATTATGCTTTTAATTGTTATGCATATAATTCAAGCCCAGAAAAAAAAGGTTTAAAAGTGTAATTTAATGTTTTTAACCTTTGGCGGAATTTGTAACGACCCCCCTATTATATGTATGAGAGAAGATGATTGAAATCTCAATAACAATTAATTTTGGAATTGTTTCAAAAATCTTTTTTCAGAGAGTTCTATGCGTGGGGTATTCTTCCCGAAGTTTACCTGGTGCCTCTTTTGCTCGGATTAGTAAAAGTTTTTTTTACCAGAAACTTTTGCTGGTCTCCCGACGCATATTTCGAACCATATACTTTTGCTTCGGCGAATTTTTGGGAACATCTGTTGGGGGGTAGTCTTTGTGCTGCTAATAATCTACAGATCCAATTTATTGGATTTGGACCAGGGAAATATTGTGTATTACTGGCCTTTGGCTATAAATATATATGTACGATGATGTCGGGTGAAAGTGTTCGAAGGAAATCAGATTTTTTATTTGATGGCCTGAAGATTATAACATCCATCTACCTGTTGTCTGGTAAAAGTTTACTTTTACCTGATTCCAGTAGAAAAACAGTGGAACTGGCAATATGGATATTATTTACGGAGGTTTTGGCTTCGAAAGAAGCTAGAGCTGAAAGAAATAATTTTACAACATTGGAAACAACATATTCTGGTGGGCTGCTTTGGGTATTAATGCTGGTCATTTTTGACCGGCTCTATGTTCATTGTGGTCTTTTCGGCTAGCTAATTTATTAGCTGGCTGAACCAACATTTGTAGTTACCTGGTTGATCCTGCCAGTAGTCATATGCTTGTCTCAAAGATTAAGCCATGCATGTCTAAGTATAAACAAATTCTATACTGTGAAACTGCGAATGGCTCATTAAATCAGTTATGATCTACATGACAATTCATTACTACTTGGATAACCGTGGTAATTCTAGAGCTAATACATGCAACAAAAGCCTCGACTTCGGAAGGGGTGCACTTATTAGGTAAAAGCCAACCTGGTGTTAAAGCCAGTTTTTTGGTGATTCATAATAATTCAATGCTGATCGCATGGCCTTGTGCTGGCGACGGTTCATTCGATTTTCTGCCCTATCAGGTTAAGATTGTAAGATAGAGGCTTACATTGCCTACCACGGGTAACGGGGAATTAGGGTTCGATTCCGGAGAGGGAGCCTGAGAAACGGCTACCACATCCAAGGAAGGCAGCAGGCGCGCAAATTACCCAATCCCAATTCGGGGAGGTAGTGACAATAAATAACAATGCAGGGCCTTTTAGGTCTTGCAATTGGAATGAGTACAATTTAAATCCCTTAACGAGGATCTATTGGAGGGCAAGTCTGGTGCCAGCAGCCGCGGTAATTCCAGCTCCAAGAGCGTATATTAAAGTTGTTGCAGTTAAAACGTCCGTAGTCGAATAGTAGCTTTTGGCTAGGTGACTTGATCTTCATTGGTCTAGTTCGCTTTAGTCATGGCTCTCACGTTTGGTACTGTCTGGTTGGCTTCGGTCGGTTAGATATAAGGCCAAACAAATTACCATGAGCAAATCAGAGTGTTTAAAGCAGGCTATAAGCCTGAATGTGTTAGCATGGAATAATGAAATAAGACGTGGCTCTATATTTCGTTGGTTTTAAGAGACCATTGTAATGATGAATAGGAACGGTTGGGGGGATTTGTATTTGGTCGCTAGAGGTGAAATTCTTGGATTGACCGAAGACAAACTACTGCGAAGGCATTTCACCCAGGACGTTTTCATTGATCAGGGTCGAAAGTTAGGGGATCGAAGACGATTAGATACCGTCGTAGTCTTAACAGCAAACTATGCCGACTAGAGGTTGGATAAGTACATTATGGCTTATTCAGAATCTTAGCGAAAGCAAAGTTTTTGGGTTCCGGGGGGAGTATGGGACGCAAGGCTGAAACTTAAAGGAATTGACGGAAGGGCACCACCAGGAGTGGAGCCTGCGGCTTAATTTGACTCAACACGGGGAAACTCACCAGGTCCAGACATAAGAAGGATTGACAGATTGAAAGCTCTTTCTAGATTTTATGGGTGGTGGTGCATGGCCGTTCTTAGTTCGTGGAGTGATTTGTCTGGTTAATTCCGATAACGAACGAGACCTTATTTTACTAAATAGACAGACCAACTTTTTAGTTGG